TTCTTCCCTAGACCATTATTATTCTTAATGCTAGGTCAGCAAAAAGGAGGTGACACTTGTCTTAAGGGATTAAAATTTTCTATCATCTCTCTCTTTTTGGAGTTTATGTAACTTCAAAGATAGAAATGGGAAGATTGAATGAACTCCAGAATTTCACAGAAGAACTTCAGAGAAATGTTTCTTTACAACTGGTGCATAACACGGACAGTTCCAAGAAGATCAGGGACCTCTCTGTCACTCTGCAAAAAATAGCCACCAAATTATGCCATGAGCTGTATAGCAAAGAACCAGGTAACCCTATTCGTCTTCTGAGTTATTTATTAGACCATGAACTAAGCCTACGAGTCACTATGTAGTAATAGCTAGCAACCTTTCCCTAGGAAGCCATTTTTTGAGGAAGGAATTAAATGTGGTTGATAGGGATATTTCATTGATATTTCTGTGCTGTTAGAAGAAAACAGAATAACTTAGGCCCTCAGATTATCAGGGGATGACAGTTACTTAATAAACATTAGACAGTGTAAGTTTTTCTGATCTGAGATTTACTAGTTATTTTGGTCACTGAGGTTAATAGAAGATAGGGAGGAAAGGGTGGGTAACCTCTTTACAGGCGGCTGAATAGGTGACCTCACTCTTTTTCAGTCAATGTTTGATGAGAGTCAATAGAGAAGAAATAATGTTAGGTCCTATCCTTGGAATTGGGAGGAATTGGTCTTTCTAATGTCTCTAATAGTTTCTGTAGCTCAAAAAACTAAAACATGTTCTTCGTGCTATTGAAACGTCAGAGAGCTGGAACTGCTGGATTGGAGAGGGTAGGGCTGATGTAGGTTTGTGGGTCTGGTTCTCACCACACAATGTTTCTTGTAATTGGCTTTGTAGTAATAAAAAACAATGACAAAGGGAGAGAAATAAATCAATTAATCATGATTCAGGGCTCCTAAGGCAGGAAAGTATGCTGGAATCCAAGTGTTTAATTTGAAATGTGTTATGTAAATTACATTTTGGACATATTGTGGTGGTATATATGGAACACAGGATTCATTTTCTTCACTTCTGTTCTAAAAAGAAGACAACTAAATGTGGTTAATTTAACAATGGGAACAATAAGAATACTGAAGCTTATCAACACAAACCAAATGAAACAACCTTCTTCTTCCAGAGCACAAATGTAAACCTTGCCCCAAAGAGTGGCTGTGGCATGAGGACAGCTGTTATCTATTTTTACCTAAGGATCCTAAAACCTGGCAAGAGAGTAACAGGATATGTTCTGCTAAAAATGCCAACCTGTTGAAGATTCAAAGTGAAAGTGTGTTGGTAAGGCCCCACGGATCTCTGCCTGTCAGAAAGACAGTCCATTTTCCCATCAAGTAATAGAAAAGAGTGAGGCATATGGGGGAGGATTTGTGTTAATCCATATGTGATTCTGTCTCATTTTAGTTGCATTATGAAGTAACTGAGATACAGTGCATTCATCTCAGGGTGTCACTGCCAAAGTACAGCCTTACCTTAAGACCTTAGCATCAGTGGAATCTCAGAGGCTAGGCAGATGGGTAGATATGGGGCACCCAGAATCTTTAGGTCTGTGAGCATTTCCAAACCAAAAGTATAGGATCTACTCTCAAAATACAATTTTTGAGCATTTATCTAAAAACAGATCTGGAAATTATTCCTGATGGTTACCAATTTCATAAAATCTACATAGAAGGAGATTCTACCATTTTGTATTTTTTTTAATTAAAAGAAAAAGTCAATATATACTAAAATAAGAAGATAGTTTGGACAAAATATGTATTTGAAAAAAGTGGAATTAAGAGGCAAGGCCAAGCAGATATATTGCACTAAGTCCTTGGGTCCCAGGAGGAAGGGTGAGTTCCCTGGAAGATTTATTCATGTATTTATGTATTTATTTTCATTTTCCTAATATATAATAGTATCTCCATATTTTGACTAAAAACAGATCTGGAAATTATTCCTGATGGTTACCAATTTCATAAAATCTACATAGAAGGAGATTCTACCATTTTGTATTTTTTTAATTAAAAGAAAAAGTCAATATATACTAAAATAAGAAGATAGTTTGGACATAATATGTATTTGAAAAAAGTGGAATTAAGAGGCAAGGCCAAGCAGATATATTGCACTAAGTCCTTGGGTCCCAGGAAGGGTGAGTTCCCTGGAAGATTTATTCATGTATTTATGTATTTATTTATTTTCATTTTCCTAATATATAATAGTATCTCCATATTTTGCTTAATACTCAGCATTCTGGTCTCTCAGATAGTAATTACATATTTACTTTTAAGGAAAAATTTCATTTTCCCAAAAGTCTCAGCTCCCTTAAGAATCTTTTAGCCCTTTTATAGAAGAGGGGGAATCAATCCATAGTCTCTTCTTCATCTGATCACTTTCAAATGATCTATGCATAATTTTTTACTCAACAAAATCTCTGGAATATGACGAAAAACTGTCAAGTTGGCTATAAAGTTCTACATTGGTTCTAAATTCTGTTCTATAACCACTCCATCTGATTTTGCTACATTTTTCTCCTACTTTTTCCGCTTCTATTCACTGTGTTAATAGTGATGAGCTACCTCTCTTGGCCCCGGGCTGAATGGTCACTGCTCCATATGTGGATCCTAAAGTTTGTGGCCTTCGTGGACCCTGAGTCAAGATGTTGCATGGATGGTAGATCTTCTCCATGTACAACAGTAACTAACGTATAAACGTTAGAGGAAATCTTACAGTAGAGAGCACCATGTCTCAGTTTCTTTTAATGGCATTTAAAAGTAGTGGTATTATGTCAAAAGTGTTACCTTAAAATACTAATTTGTAAGAAACTATATTGTGAGGTAATGTACAGAACTGGGAGACAATTATTTAAACAAACTATCTTTATTTCTGTAGGAATTCATAAAATCCCAGGAACTAAGTAGGTATTGGCTGGGATTATCTCCCAGTAAATACAAAAAAGACTACCACGCTTTGGATGATGTAATTGTCTCCTCTGACTGGTAAGTCGTTATTCTTGTTGAATTTTTACGGTTGGTTTGAGTAAAGGTGTTCTCCTCAGGAGCATTGTAGGTTACCATTAAAACTAGCTTCATTTAAAGTTGAGTCCATACAGAGCTCTTTTTCAGCAACCTTCTTTAATGTATTTAATAAAGCAAAAAGTTATGGCAAATGTCTTCTCATTAACTTGGCAAGTCATTAATGAACTTATAGTAGCCAAATAAGGGAGAATTTCTGTGAATAATAAAAGTTTAGAAGACAACAAATTCACAGGGCTCTATCCATGTAGGTAAAATCATGTGCTGGGATTCAAAAATGAATGAAAGATTGCCTCTTCCCTTAGTTACTTAACCATTAATTGTATCTGCAGATAAACAATTCTATAAATAAAAGGAATATAACATGACAAATGCTACAGTTAGAATACAGAGAATAACCAAAAATAACTTTTAACTTTGAAATTTGTGTTACTGACATTTGAAATGGCCACTTTTGTATGACAAATCTAGAGATAGACAAGAAGAGCATTTCCAGTACAGAGAATAAAATGAAGATGGACATAGTATATTGCATATATGGCATATGCATATATATATGACATAATACATAAATATATGGTATAAATGAAGAAATGTGATTAGAAATATACCATGACAAATGGATTCCCATGTTGCATTCATTCTGCTTGTAATGGGGGAAAAAAGAACAAGGCTTACATAAAAATAACGTGAAAATTCTATTTGTGTCCCATAATCCCTTAAATTTGGGGTGCAGAGATTAGGCTAAAGAAAGAAACCAGAGCCTCAACCTGCTGGATACTATTGCAAGCCCATGAATTTAAGTACATTCATTGGCTGAGGACACGTCAAGTGGGACTGAACTCTGGACAACTGGGCTGGGTGCTGACACCCACTAAATTCTGCATACTCAGCATGTGGGGTCACACAGCAGATAGAAGGTTTCATTTTGTTCTGTTTGTTCTTACAGATAGAAATAGTAGGTGTAGGAATATGGCTCAGAAAGACCTCTCTCTGGCCGTTTGCAATGATAGGCAAGAATGGGGTGAGATATGCACAGATAGAGGAGGGAAGGATGTATATTTGAAAGCTTTCCTTCAGTGTGAGGGACTAGAGGGAAAGGTAGGGTGTGTCAGGAAAGACTATAGGTGCAATCTTGTTTTGAAAAAAAGAATTTGAAGTTATTGAAATTAAATTTAAGGTAGTTTATAAGGGCATGGAAACAGATATTTCAAATTTTCAATAAATAATATTGAAATAAAAGTATATAATAATATGTATTATGTGATTTATGTAATATATGTAATCATATATGTAATATATATGCATATATACATGATTTCCTCTTATTTTTTATTCTTAGTGTTATTTTGGGGTTTGTTTCTTGAAAGGAACTGTGGTTGATGACATCTGTGTTATGTCACCTCAACTAGGAAACTTCACTTTTGAAAGTTTAATTGATTGACTTATTTATTCATTAATGATCTGTATTTATCAATCCAAGTATTGATGCTATATTTTTTCCCAAAGATAATATTTTCAATTCACAAGTTTGTCTTTAATGCATGGCTCTGATGAGTTAATCTTGTATTAGGGGCTGTTGATAATTATTCAGAATTTCAGAGTGAAATCTCTAAAAAACGGCTTGAGATGACCCTGAGTTTATGGTGCCACACATTATGTGAATTCCTGGTTTGGGTGCTATGAAAAACATTTGAGGAAGGAAGTGTCAAAGATTTACTACTCAGCCAGTTAGACTAGAGAATGTAAGGGAATTGCATTATTCTAGTCATACTAGGGTTGGGGAAGGGGGTGTGCCTATACCACTGAAAGTAAAGGATGGCAGGTATTTCATTTGTGAGAAAATGAAAAACACAGAGAGAAATAAGGCAGTGTTTTACATTGCATTTGTGTTAATAAAAATGAGTAACTTGGTCACTCTTGATATTCTGAATAATAATAAGAATTTATTTTAGACAATGCAGACCCTAGAAGCAATAATATGTTGAAAAAGTAATTTTTGTTCATGAATGTGGTGCACATGTGTGACTCACCAAGTATAATTCTTTGTTTTCTCTTTTAGGTTTGTAAGAAACACAAATGACTTAAATGGTAAGATGTACTGTGGATATATACATTATGAGAGTGTTTATTACGCTGAGTGCACTAACAAAAACAGAATTATATGTGAGAAGTTGGCTGACTCAGTGCAGATTGACAGCACACTACACTACTGAGTGAAGCACCAGATGGAAGAAGAGTGTAATTAGCACAATTACTTTGATTCAGCTGTTGTCCTAACAATTAAAGGCAACTTTAGAGAGCATACATCTAGTGGACCACACAAATGGAATAAAGGCGCTGTGAGACTAAGTTTCTGCCTACAATTTACATTTTCAAACTTTCTTCGCTCTCCTCATTTGCTGAGTGAAAGGAACCTAAAGCCATACCGTATCATCCAGATACAGGCCCAATTGGAAGAACATACAGAAGAAATTACTCAAAATTAAAGAGATATGAAGAGCATGGTGGACTCAGACAATGAAGCCAAGTGATCTAATATGTAAATAATAAGAGTCCATAAAGAGGAAAAAGAACAGATGTGAACAAGGAAATAATTATAGGATTGATTAGATACACTCTAGTACTGAGAAATAGGGAGAAAAATAATTGCCATTCACCCACCCTGAATTCAGAAAAGGTAATTCATGCATTCTAGCAAAATAAAAAATCATTATACACCCCATCTGAGAAAAATACACAAGAAAATTTCCAGATACACAAGAAATTAATTGTCCCTCAAAATAAGGGGAAATTTAGAGGCAAGCAAAAGTAATAGCTGATGATGAAATGACTACAATAAAAATGATAGTAATAGAAATGTTAAATCATTTTGCAATAAGGTAGATTTATTGAGAGAAATCTATAATATAGTCTATAAGAAATTTTACTAAACACATTAAAATCTATGGATATGGAGAGATTTGGTGAAGGAAAAAAGTATTACAAAAATCCAGATTGGAGAGTGAGATTGGCAATTTTATAATAATATTATATTATTGTAACTCAAGCAGTGAATAATTAGAGCACTCTGGTGGAAGTATTAGGGTTAGTGTCTTATTTCATAATAGACGATTAATTCTGTGTCTAAGAGCTAGTAACTAGAACAAGAAGAAAGGCATACAAGTAAATCTTAAATTACTAGAGGAAGAACACCAAATAAATATTAAGTCTGAATTAAACCAAGAAAAGGTATGTTAATGACCAAATACATAATTAATGAATTAAATCTGAAAGCCATAGATCTATGTGCATCAAATAATATGAGGTATATATATAAAGCAAAAATTATTAGAGATTCAAGGAGAATTTTATTTGAAATAAATCCTCAGAGATTTTAAAACACTACTTTTGTTATTATAGAAGAGCTAGCAAAAATCTGATCAATATGCAATATATGATCCAATGCTTAAATTAATACAATTATTTAATACATATAAATATACATATTTTATATGGCTGAATTCTTAAGACAGAGTATCTTTGGAACAAAGACTTGGTAATTTATTTTTAAAAACATACCAAATATAAAATTTTTAGAAACTAATAAACCTTTCGCTCTCTGATCATAATACAATAAAATTAGAAAGAGTAATAATAGTACAAACCAAATAATCTTAAGTACTTGGGAAAAAACATATTTCTAAGAATATTTTTATCAAAGAAAACAAAACAAATGAACTTTAAATCTTTAAAAATGTACTGCAAAGGAAAACATTTCCTTTTACAAACAGCTATTAAGGAAAGACTTATGACTTTAACTCTTTCATTACCACAGAAGAAAGAATATAGTAACCAAACTTAATAACCGACTTTACATTAATAAAAATCATAAAAGAAATTGAGACAATTGACTATTTTAAAAGCTTAAATCAATAAATAAGTTTTGAAGAGGAAATTCAATTTGAAGACTGGTTTCATTGAAAAGAACTGTGGGTAAAATTGTAACATTTCCAGAATATCTCGCCTGGCTTTGATACATCTGCATACAAACAGGCATTGAGAGGTGGAAAGAAGTATGGCTTTAGTGCATTCCCATCTTTCCTCAGGGGTGGAGAAGTTCATCTCCACATCAATGGGTAATTTCCTGGGCAACGGAGGGCTTATCTGTACCAGAGAGGTGACAGTGGAGGCCGGTTTTGCTGCTGCTGGAGCAGGAAGAGAGAGAAAATGGCCCCAGACTGCAGTTTGTGAGCAATAAATGGATTTTAAACTTTATTTCTCCCTTTGACTGATTTCGGTTTTTAGAGGCATTTGGCACCAGGATTTCCTCTCCCAGGACTTACAGAATCCAATAGCCAAAGGGGTTTTCCAAAAGGAAAAATGGAGAAAGCAAAATTAGCAGATATTAGGAATAAGTTTATATATGTAGCCATAAACAATAAGCAATACATTTGAAAATCTAAAGGAAATTGGCAACTTTCTTATAACATATAAAGGGAAAATTGGAAAAGATCAATCATCAGAGAATGGACTGGAAGACATATTAAGTAATATATTTCAATACTGGCACAGAAAAAGTAATGAAGAATATCCAGCAGGTAGTCAACAATGATTACCTGGAGATGAGAAAGTAGAACAATGAACAAAATTAGGAAGATAGGAGGAGAAAAAAAGACCTCTAAAATGTAAACCATAGCATACATAAAGTATCTAAAATATATCATATGATCATATATACTTAAAATGTGTTTTTAGTGTTAGATGTGAATGTAGAGAAGCACTCACATTGGCAGATCATAGATGGGGCTACTTGACTTTGCAAGCATTTTTTTTTCACACACAAAAATAGAGTACCAATACTCCTATACACTGAGGGGCAGGAGGTGGAGGGGTTGGAGAAAGGGGAAGCAACATGAAATGCGTTCTTTATGTCTTTTTCCTGAATTTGTTTATCCTCTTAGGATACTGCCCTGCATCGAAAGTGTGGTGCCCAGTAACTATCATTTCGCTTAAGTTGAATGTGGTCGTGCTGGCTGGATGGGGGACCCTGGGCCTCTCCCTGAGGCTGCCCTGGTGTTACCAGGCGCATAGGAAATGGAGCCAGAGACAGAGCCATATGACATTTTCTGATAAACAGAGAGGAAAACCGGTTTCAATTCTGTTAACCATAAAACTTCAGACATTCTCTTGAGGATATTGTAATTTAAGTGTCAGATTCAGTGGTTACTACTCATGTAGAATAATGCTAAAGACAGTAAGTAAAATATATTTTTCTTAAAATTATAAATTCAGTGCAACAAAAATACAACTTACACCCTGTGAGTTTTCATGATGATTTCATATGTTATCCATTTTCATGACATTTTCTTTGCCTAACTCATTCTAAATGCAAACATTCTTCAAAATGCCATTATCATTATGTGCATTTTTTCTTCAATTTTTTTTTTAGTTATAGCAAGTTATTTTCTCCTAGGAATCACAATTTCAGATGAATGGCATTATAGTGATCTCATTTGAAGTAAAAGGTTAAATTATAAATTATTTTTTTCATAGAACTTCTATAATTGTTCCTGAAATTGGTATAATTGGTGGTCAGTGTCTCTTTTTCCAATACAATGCAAGCTTCTTAAGGGCACAGACTATGGCTTATGCATTCTTTGTATGTTTTGATTGAATGAATGTGTTGAGTGCTGTAACTCTGGAGGGAAAATATGCTCTCAGCCCACGGCAAATAACCTTTGAAGCCAAAATAAGTCAAAGGAAGAAATAAATTGGGAGAAGCCCGTTTATTGCTTACAAGGAGTTGTTCACTTCTGCTCACCCGTGTCTCTCGTGACCCTGCTACAAACAGGACCCTACCATACTTCTCAGGTCTAGACATGTCCTCTGTGATTATTTTGTTATTGTTTTTCTGAATATTTGCAGGTAGAAAAATTCCAAATTTCTGGTCCAGACATGCCCCCTTGTAATCACTTATTGATATGGAGACAGACTACTTCTCTACAACCCTTGGAAACACCTATTGATATGGAGATGGACTAAGGCCCAGCAAGAGATTCTGGAAATATTGCAATTTTACCCACAATTGAATAAATGAATAAGTGAGTGAACAAAAAAATGAACAAATAAGCAGGAAATAGTAGGCTTTTGATATTAAAGCTTAAGTATCTTTCTAAGAAAAGACAAATCTCAATTTATTCTTAGCAGCAGTTTGTTCCACATTGAAGAAGAAGGGAATTTTGAGTGCTTTAAAATATATTTTTTCATTAATGGTATAATGCATATATGTTGCCAAAACTTCAAAATAGAGAAAAGGAGAAGCTAAAAGTAATTTGTATCTGCCAACTGGAGGTAATAGTTATTAAAATATAGAGTTCTATTTTAATATCTTTGGTATCACAGCATGGATACCATTTTATATCTTTTATTTAATAATTTAAATAAATAGTCTTTAAAATTATATTGCTTAGCATTTTCTAGTATTAATGTTTTCCCAAGCTCCTCAGCTGTATTATCTCATTTAGTCTTTACCCAGTTGTTACTGGAGATTGGTCCTAGGTCTCTTCGAGAGAAAGAATTTGAGAACAGATGCAAAAAGCAGTCGGGCATGAAGAATTTATTTGGAGAGTAAGAATCTAAAGAAAAGTGAGAGTACACGCCTGAGAGGTGGGTGCCAGCAGACCCAGGAGGCACTGCACCAAGGAAATGATAGGGAGATGGAAAGGGAGATCAGCATGCACTAGGTGGGACTGGGTTTCAGAGGGAACAGCTGGAATCTTCTTGGGCTTCAGGCTTGCTCTCCCTCACTTTGGCTGGGGAGTTTTTGGCTATATTTGATTTTCATTAGAATTGTCATAGCTTGGGAGGCATGATTTTTATTACGTTAATGAGTATATAATGTATTTTGGGGTGAAGTTTAGGTCACTTTTCCTCCCTGTTGGAACCAGCGGTTTTGGCTAGTCTGTTACCTATACCCTCACTCCCTTTATCCCTTGAAACGGCTTACGTAGAATGTGTACCTTGCAGGCATCCGGCTGAAGGCAAACCCCAGTGAAGTCCCCCTCCCCCTCTCTGCTCATGTCTGGCTACTCACCTACACTACCACAACCGTACCTTATATTTATGTTTTTCCTCAATTTCCAGGGGCAGAGACCCCAAAGTATTTTTCCAGTTCTGTGTGGTTTGTAGGTGACCCGTGGGGAATATTTGATCATATATCATTTTAATTTACACTTCATGGTTTTAATACCCCTTTGTTTTTCCTTCATGTTTCTGTCCTTTGCTATTTTGATCATGTTTTCTTTCCTCTGCAATTCCCTTCCCTTCCCGAGCTCTGCAATAATTTGTTTCTTTAAGTACCATTAATTATTTGCTTGCTAATTAAAAGGTTCTTGTAAGGACCTATAATTTGGGGGTCGTCTTCCTCAAGCCTGGACAGTAGTGGGGATGCTTTCCCCTGCCCTCTGCCCGCCCGCCTGGGACCGTGAACACAAAGGCACCCCGAGGACACAGAGAAAGAGCAGCAGTCTAACAGTAATTGCTGACATATCTTCAGGGCCCATTCTTTGTGATTTCATTTCATTTAATCCTCATAAAGTTACTAAAATGTAAAGATTCTACTAAGTGGCAGGGCTGCCAGGTAAGCTCACATCAGTCTATCTATAAAAACCAGGTTATGTTATAATAATCCACCAAATGGAGAAGTTATAAAGTTTCCTGAATCTTCTAAATTTTCTGAATCTTCCTAGAGGTATGATCCCTGTCTTCTGAAATTCTTTTTTTTTTTTTATTCTGAGGCTGATGTTCACTAATTCTATGTCCTTAAAAATATATTGAGACTCTCCTGGTCTCAAAGGTGTGATTTGTCTTTTTATAGACCAACTACTGGATTACACCATCCTTTATTTTGAAATCATTTGCTTCACATGGATGTTTTTTCTTTTGTATCTTTAAACTTCTTTGAGCCTTTCCTTAAATAAGGAACTAGTACTCTATTGAATTACATAAAATATTTTTACCTCTAATAAATTTTCATCTTTAAAGTATATGTGGTTAGTATTCTGCATGTACGTAGCTATCATTTTAATATACTTTCCATTAAATGTTTAAATAATAACTATTGTGATATTAATATAATTTATTGGAAGACTTTGATTATGTTAAAGTCATTAATCTCCTGATATGAATTATTATAGATTAGCAGGGACTTCTCTTCCGCAACAGAACAGCATATGACATTCAAAAAAGCATAATAGAAAAGTTGGAAAGAAATCTAACATTATACCCAGATACGTATAAAAATATCTCAAGCAAGTGCATTACTTTCATAAATGTGTTAGGAAACACATTAAAAATGTTGAACAACTTTACCTCAAAATACTGCGAAGACTTAAAAAAGCAGGAGGAAAATGGTAAGTGAAATCATCTGTGTTTATATAGGCTCATCAGTTACTTAGGGTTCTGTGATTTTCCCTAGCCTTTCCACTGGGTTCAAAATCTTAAGATAGTTCTGAAATTTAAAACAAAACATGGAAAAATAGTAACCATTTATAAATTCTTCTATTTAAAAAAATCCTTTTTGTCTTTCCTGACTTAATTTCTTCATATATTTAATTATTGTTTTTATTGAACTAACCTCTCTCTCTCTCTTTTAAATTCTGTGTTAGAGTGAGTTTTCTTGAATCCCTTCTTTCTTCTTTCTTTCTTCTTTCTTTCTCTAACACTCACATTTTTAATGGGGTTTACATAAAGTAGAAGCTAGCTGTATATAGGAGATAAATGTTCTGTATCCTTGGAGATACAGGCCTAAAAAAGTCTTTATTTTGGCTTGGTAGAAATTTGAAGTTTAAAAATTAGTTTCTTAGAGAATGTTGAGAGAGTTGCTTCATTGTTTCTAGCAAACAAGGTTGTTAAGTCTGGGCTCCACCTCATCCCAGTTGTATGAACTTGGTTCAGTCATTTAGTTTCTTTTAGTGTCAGTTTTCTCATTAATATACTGGAGAAAATACTAATATTATTCCATGGACTTCACAATTATATTTTGATAAAGATATAATACATATAAAATACTATATAGATTAGAAAAAAAAGGCATCCTACAGTATGAGAGAATATATTAATAAATGACAGATCTGATAAACGGTTGACATCCAAAATATATAAAGAGCTCACGCACCTCAACAAACAAAAAGCAAATAATCCAATTAAAAAATGGGCAGAGGAGCTGAACAGACAGTTCTCCAAAGAAGAAATTCAGATGGCCCACAGACACATGAAAAGATGCTCTACATCGCTTGTTATCAGAGAAATGCAAATTAAAACCACAATGAGATATCACCTCACACCAGTAAGGATTGCCACCATCCAAAAGACAAACAACAAATGTTGGTGAGGTTGTGGAGAAAGGAGAACCCTCCTACACTGTTGGTGGGAATGTAAATTAGTTCAACCATTGTGGAAAGCAATATGGAGGTTCCTCAAAAAGCTCAAAATAGAAATAACATTTAACCCAGGAATCCCACTTCTAGGAATTTACCCTAAGAATACAGCAGCCCAGTTTGAAAAAGACAGATGTACCCCTATGTTTATCGCAGCACTATTCACAAAAGCCAAGAAATAGAAGCAACCTAAGTGTCCATCAGTAGATGAATGGATAAAGAAGAGGTGGTACATAAACACAATGGAATATTATTCAGCCATAAGAAGAAAACAAATGCTACAATTTGCAACAACATGGGTGGATCTAGAGGGTATTATGCTCAGTGAAATAAGCCAGGAGGAGAAAGACAAATACCAAATGATTTCACTCATATGTGGAGTATAAGAACAAAGAAAAACTGAAGAAACAAAACAGCAGCAGAATCACAGAACCCAAGAATGGACTAACAGTTACCAAAGGGAAAGGGACTGGGGAGGATGGGTGGGAAGGGAGGGATAAGGGTGGGAAAAAGAAAAGGGGCATTACGATTAGCATGTATAATGTGGGAGCAGCATGGGGAGGGCTGTGCAACACAGAGAAGACAAGTAGTGATTCTACAGCATCTTACTATGCTGATGGACAGTAATTGTAATGACAGTGACTGTAATGGGGTTTGTGGGGGGACTTGGTGAAGGGGGGAGCCTAGTAATCATAATGTTCTTCATGTAATTGTAGATTAATGATACCAAAATAAAAAATTCAAAAATAAAAATAAAAATACTATATAGATATTGTTGATATTGATTCAACACTACTAATTATACAGGGAATTTCAGCTCCCTAGACATTTTTTTAATACTTAAAAAACAGAAACTATCTCTTGCCTATTTCTGTCTCACTTATCCTCCAGTTTTTCCCTTCATTTATTTATACCTTTTAAAAGAAAAATTCCCTCCACCTCCTCTATTTTAGAAGCCTCCAATCAGTCACCTACAAGAATATTCCCCTGGCATCTCTTCCAAGGTATAAATATGAAGGACTGCATTCATAAAAAGAAATCTGTTAGTCCCCAGATTCAGTCTCTGACATGCCCAATCAAACGTAACTAGAACACAGAGTCTCGCTGTAACACAGAGCTTCATGAAATACAGTGACAGTGTACAATTTGAGGAAGTCCTGAAAGCCACCTACTTTTTCCTTCAATATTGGGAACACTCATTCTGCTGATGTATTTCACAACTTCGTCTCCATTTCGGAGGTTCCACGGCACAGGGTGGCTTTAGGCACTTAACACCTGTCCATTCCTCAAGGTCACATCTTGCTCTCTCTGAGCTCCTACTTCTTTCCCTTAGGTTACTTCCATCCTGGTTATTTCCTGCTCCAACAGGATCCTGAAATGCAAGTGTCCTGTCAGTCACTTCTTCAGACATTGCAGAAGAAAGCACTCTGATCAATTATGTAATTAATGTGTCAATATCTTCAGGCCCATGAACAGGATGTTCTTTTCAAGGCTGGGAGCTTTTATGCAGACTTTCAGCTGACCCAAGACCCACCCCACTATCTCTCTGTAGGGACAGAATGACAATCAGGTTTCCTGCAAAGAAAGTGAGAGAAGTCAAATATTCTCCTTAGAAATTAGAATACTTTAGATTCAACTGTCTGCTCTTTCAGCATCGTTTCCTGCTGTGAAGCCAAGAAGGGGTACTTGGAACAGAGCCGGTATGGTGGTTTCATGAGGGAATTTCCATGATTCTCGGGGTAGAGGCTGCTCTGAATATTTCAGTAAAGGGTCAGGTTGTTGTTTTTACAGATGTCAAATGCCAGCCACTCCTGTATGGAGACATTGGATCTGGTTTATATGCCCCCATATCAGATATGGGATATCCATCACACCAAGAAGAGTTGCATAATTAAAGGGCACCCAAACCTGGCTGCTGTTTTAAGAAACCGAAGTGTGTGTGTGTGTGTGTGTGTGTGTGTGTGTGTGTGTGTGTGTGTGTGTGTGTGCGCAGAGAAGAAATTGCTGGCTGTTCAAACTGTGTAGGAATGCAGTTCCCTCTGGCGTGGCTAAATTCCTAAGAATAATCCTGCAAATAAGAGCTAATACTCAGGATCAGATGAAAACAAACAAAACCCAACAAACTACCTGAAGTTTCAGGAGAGTGAAAAAGGCAGGCAGATCATGAGAGGGAGACGGCACAGGATAACTGGGCTTGTGTTTTTGTTTTCAATCTGCTTGCTTGGTTGGTTTTTAGCCAGAGGGCAGCCAACAGTCACTGTTGCAGGGCAGCTCAGACTCTCATAGAAACATGCAGCCTGTCAGGCCTGAAAACTCAGAAGACGGAGTTTGGAGCAAGCACAGCAACAGGAAGGCTGGATGTTCATGTAGGATACTGGATGGGGGGATCTCTGGAGTATCTGTATGCCTCGAAGTCTTCGTTAGCTACAATTTCTTTACATTTCATTTACAAAATAACTTTATAAAATAACCACCCTCTGTGTTCTTTTTCTTAGACCTTAAAATGCCCTGAAAAAGATGTTTCCACTAGAACTGAGGTAAACTCCCTGCCCCAGAATTTACACTGTATTACTTTCAATTTTGGCAACATGACATAAGAAGTGAAGAGTGGACAGTTTATATAGAAAATGTTCTGGCTGCTTTTTGGAAGAACACAAGAAACAACAGCCGACTGCAGGTGCTGTTGGTTATGTAACCAAACTAGGCGTCCAGCTCAGAGGGCTCTAAAGGACTGCATTTATTCATATCTCACCATAACTTACAAAAATTCACGAATTTACTAAGAAAGCAATCTGTTCTTAAGAACCTGCGTAAGATGGAATTATAATACCCTCCAAAGATATCCATGTTCTATTGCCCAGAACCTCTGAATACAGTAGTTTACATGGCAGAGGGGACATTGCAGTTGTGATTAAGATTACTTGAAATGAGGAGATCACCCCACATTACCTGGGTCGGCCCAATTTAATCACAGGAGTCTTAAGGGTAAAAACCCTTTCCTAGATATGGTCAGAGAGAAATATGACACAAAGACGGGTTAGAGAGATACTAGGTTGCTGGCTGAAGGAGGAGGACGGGGGCCAAGAGCCAAGGTGTGCGAGCGGGGGGAGGCGAAGGTGGAGAGTGCACTCTCCCACTGAGCACTGGGAAAGGACTTCGGCCCCTCCCCAGCCTTGACCTCACCCAGTGAGATCTACGGCAAGACTTCACCCATGGAGCAGTGAGACGATTAACTTGTGTTGTTTGGTAAAGCACCAATAGGTAACTAATACAGAACTCAAAAAAATATTTGAGGGTGTAACTCTGGGGGAAAAATATTTTCCCAGCCCAGGGCAAATACCTTTGAAACCAAAATCAGTCAAAAGGAGACATAAAGTGGGAGAAACCCTTTTATTTTTTACAAGAGTTGTCCACTTCAGCTTGTCCATGTCTCTTGCTGCCCTGCTGCAAAAAGGGGACTCCACCCAATCTCTCTGGTCCAGATATGCCCTGGCTCACCCTTGTAATCACCTATTGATATGGAGATGGACCACTTCTCTCCACCCCTTGGAAACACCTATTGATATAGAGATGCACTAAGGCCAGGCCAGAGATTCTGGAAATACTACAGTTTTACCCACACACCAATGCATAACTAATACAGAACTCAGAAAAATATTTGGGGGCTATACATGAACAAGGGAACTGAGGAAACTTCCAGATGTTTCCTTTGGGGTAAGAAGATTAGATAACTATACTCAGGGGGAGGATTTGTTTTGGGGTTTTGTCTTCAGATGGCTGTGGCTTGACCCAAAACCTCTCAAGGTCCACCTCTGTGTGAAGATATTAATCAAAGGTTTCCAGTATGAACTGTGCCCAACCCAGAGGTGTAAATAAATAGCTGATGGGTTGCAGAAAAACAATGTTATAGTAATAATTCTTCAGTAACATTTGTGCATGATCTCTAAATACATAAATGTACATATATTTCTTGTTTATGTTCTTTTTTTTCAAACTAATGGAATGTTCAACCAAAACGATATATGTGTATATTTGGAGGCTCTGGGTCATAAGCAACTAAACTCCATTGCCCAAAATGTGAAAATGAATAATAAATCTATGTTTATGTTTCTGTTCTAACTACATTAGGAAAAGCAGAGACCACTGATATGAAGAAAAGTTAAATCAAATAGGTGATTACAAAAACAAGAACTCAAGGATGTTTTTCTGTCTCTGTTCTGGTCTTTCACTTTCACCAAATTTTGCAAAGGCTGTTTTCATTTTCATTTCCCTGATCCTAAAGTTCCCTAAAAAGATATTTAACCTCTTACTATCATGTATGAAATAATGCTTGGGTAAAACAATGATGAAGAATTTCACCTGGTTCCTAATTATTTCTACAAGGAAGAAAACTTATCATGCTTCCTACAACTTTCTACTATTATGATCCTAAAAGATTATCTATGATTGGTTCATAATTCTATTAATTTAGACATATCTGTCTATACTTTTCTGCCTTAAAAAACCTAGCATCTTTATAGCTCATTTTATCAGATTACACTATCAAATAACACACCTGTTGCAGTCATCTACCAAATTTTAGGGTGTTTCTCTCCATTTCTTAATCATTTTTTTAACTGTCTTAAATCTCCTATTCACTTCTACTCCTGTAATGATTATTAGTGATTTCAGTATCTTACAGGAGATAATTCCAATATGCTGGGCTCTTGGTTCCTGGATTTATATCCAATAACCTTGGCTACAATCACGTATCAGCTACCCCCTATGGTGATCATACTTTAAAGTCCAAAACTGTAGGTACTAGCCACATATGACTATTTAAATTTAAATTAATTGAAATAAAAAATCCATTTCCTTGGTCATACCACTTACATTTCAAGTGCTCAATAGCCGCACATGGCTATTTTAGACACTTCGATTCAAAGAGTCTGTGCTCCGTGAAGACCAGGACTAGGACTTTCTCCATGAATACTTTCCACCAACTTCAATTTCTGAAACACACTTAAATTAATGAAATATTTACTTTATAATAAAAGAGATCATTTATGTAAACTGCCTCTTAATCTCTAAACTATTAAACAAATAAAAGTTTTCTGCCAAATTCAAACTCACCAGGTTATTTGGAGTATTTTTCAGCTATACTTTGCTAAGCCGAAAAAACCCCTAAGGGAGCGATACAATAAACAAGCAGAAATAAAATGTCAGTACAAGGCCTTAGGGTGGTTAAGAAATATCTAGCAAAGCCTCCGGATTTGGGGAAAGGGAAAGGAGAAGTTTGTTATATCTAGCTCTTTTTCCTGCAGTTCTCGGCTTAATTTTTGCTGAGTAACTCCGCTTGTATTTATAGGCTATGCAGAGGGAGAAAGCAGGATCAATGCTAATGTCACCAGCACTTCCTCTGACCCAGAGAATCCGGTATTCGCTTGGCATATTTCTAACACCACAAAGCCATGCTTGGGAGATACAAACAAAGGCAAATAAATTTTTATGGAACAAAGATCTGGACATAAGACCCTCAGCCTGTGGCTAGAGTCATCAAAGATCCAAAACCAGTGGCCAATGGTGCATTACACTCATTAAGAGGAAAGAACCAAAGGAGAATTCAGAGGCTGAATATCGTCTGAGGCTCAGTGTTACTCATTTCAACTTTACCTACTTCGGTGTTACATGTATGGTTTTAAGCATTCATGACATGGAATAAATGGGATAAATGCCATTGAAACTGTACCCTCCACACTCTCCTGTCACTTGGGCACAATCACTTGTCAGGGTTTCTGTGTGTTTTAGGAAAAGATCACTAAAGCAAGGCAGGGGGGGAGAGGAGCGGAGGCGGGGGAGAAGCCTCCCGACTGCGTGTGTGAGTAAACGTGGGCAGAGGACGGGAGGGAGGGTGGAAATATTTCTCCGTCTCATCTAGAAGACTGGGGGCATCGCGCCTTCTTAGGAGGAGTGAAGAGCCTGCGTGGGCTGACAGAGGAGTTACCAAAGGGAAGCAGTGGTAGAATTAAGAGCAAAGCCTGAATTCACCCTGCTCATTACGGGGAACTCCTAATTATTTTACCTGAGATAAGAAACTCAGGGACAAAATGGGTTGGAGGATTTAAAAACTGTGATTGTTTGATTTTTAGCACTGTTATTCGATTTGGAATTTATTTGAAGTAAGGGGATTTTAGATTAATAATTGGTTGCTGCTGAAAACACCATGCTCTGTTTGGGTTATTTTAAATCAGGCAATGCCTTTCATGTCTGTTTTGTTTATTCTTTACACCTTTTGAAATAATTTGAGGTGTGTAGGGAAAGGAATTTTAAAATAAAAGACTATTTTAAGAGATTTGGCAAAGAATTCAGAGTGAAGGGAATTAACAGGAAGTAAAAACAAATATATAAGATGGCCCAAAGGGTAAGTTAACAATGAAAATGCCTGCAGTGAGATCCTCTATAATTACTATATTGAAAAGATCAGGCTAACATTTTACTAACTAAAAAGAAAAAAAGAGGAAGAAATACATTTATGAGATAAATGCCTAATAGTTTTTCAGGAGAAGGGAAGCTTTTCTGACCATGCAGTTTTAACAAAATATCTGATGTAAAACTACCCTAATGACAAATAGATATCATTCCCATCAATATTCCAACAATTAGCACATCAGCCAGCTTTCTCTGGCTGTTCTTATAACTATTTTCATTATAAGTTACAATAACGATGTGAAAAACCATCTCCTCGAGTTAAATGTGTGGAATACATTGTTATATTGTGATGTTAAGGGCATAAAACCATCCTTTCCCCAAATAGCTCTTCATCTAAGCATTTCATTATACTTGAAATTATATAACTTCGTTGAATTAAGATTTCTCCATTCCTAGAAATTCACTTTAAAGTGAAAACATTACTGCAAGACAATACATCAAGTCTCAAACTCTGTATTATTTTACTTTGATTGTTTTCCTTCAATGCCTAAACCTGAACAGTAGGAAGCCTGCCTCATGTGAAGTCCTCAACTTTTTGAAACATTTGGTTTGCAAAAGATGCAATTTAGATAAATTCTAGGACATAATTAGAAGTGGCCCCTTTAACGCAAGACCATGAAACATGTAATATACTTCATACTAAATCAAATTATATTAGACTTCCTCCTCACAATGGGATAGACTGCCTGCTGGTGTTCTACCCATGAATTTTCATGAGAAGTTAGTTTACGTAAGCAATATGATTTAGACTCTGCTAAGGTTAAGATGCAGCATGAACTTCTGTTCTTTGAAAGGAAGCATGTGATGCAGTATTCCTTCATTCAGAGTTAAAGATAAGGAAACAGGAAACAAATGCCATATCTACTCCTTTACAGCAAGTTATTATTACTTTTGTATTTTTATGTTCAAGGTCCATGTATCTCTGACCAGCTATGAAAGAGCTTCCTGGAAAAAAACACAAAAACAAAAACCAACAAAAAAATGTGCTGCAGCTCATATGGCTCCACCTTAGCAGAGACTGGAGGACCACAGCTTGGGAGACGTTGAAATCCTGAGTGGACACTACATTTTGCAAAGTCACCGAATCCTGAGCTCATTTGCAGTCCAAGGCAAGCCATGCAGGATGAAGATGGATACATCACCTTAAATACTAAAAAATCTCAAAAACCATCTCTCAGCTCAGGTAAGAAATGCCCACAGCCAGCAATTTGGAGATTAATTATTGAAATGGGTCAACCCTAGTTACCCTTTCCTACTAGTGATAGCATGTACCGTTCTATTTCATTTCCTGTATGACCTTTATTTTCTATAGCATTTGATTAGTATCTACATAGGCTCTGAGAGACTTCTTTAGAATATAAACAGCAAGAGACACAAGCAGGGAACATGATAGTAAGGCTTATAAAGTTTAAGCTAGAGGGATGAGAGACCAGAGAGACAACCAGAGAGAATGTTTTGCAACCCCCTTTTCTAAGATGTCAGCAAATGGGTGTGATTCTCCAGTTGTTGCTTATAAAAGCAATTGTTTATGGGGTGGGCATACAACAAAGACACACACAATGTGTCTGTTTTAACTCAGAGAGAAGTCCTTTGGGGATGGGGAAGGATATGAGGAATGGGAGAGGGTTGTGCTTACCGCTGATGATCAACAAGGGAACACTGGCAAGTGCTGCTAATGAAGCTGTTTGTACCACTTGAAAAGTCTTGAGGGGCAGGCGCAGGGATGACGCCGCCCCACGGCTATGCCACACTGCCTGCCCCCTGACATCTTTATTGTGTGCCCGCAGTTCACCCAGCTTCCTCATCTGTGTGGCGTGTGACCACTTTGATTCTGCTGATCTTGTGCATGGGGATGGTTGTTGGGCTGGTAGCCCTGGGAATTATGTGTAAGTACTGACTCCTTGCCAAAGATTTAATCTGAGAAGGTACCACCTAAGAGTCCTGGTGTATGTCACAAAGACTAGTTGTCACTATCTGTCTGTCACTATTCCAATCATCCTATACATAGCTGCCAAAATATTCTCAATAAAGGAGAACTCTGGTCTTCCTCTTCTGATTAAAATCACCTTTTTAGGCATTTTTACTAATTAAAAATTATTTTCAAGAATTTTTCCCAGGTCTTTAAGATCCTCCTCTGTATAGATTCACACTACCTCTTGGAACTATTTTTTTCTATCTGTTTTTTCTCCCTGTCTTTTCTTTTTCTCCCTATCTCAATATCCAGTTTCCTCAGGTTCACAAATGAACCCCCTCCCTGAAAATTTGCTCATTTATTCCCTCCTCCTAAAATGACCACCTACCTTCCCATTTTGCTTAATGGATGTATTTACTTCGACTAAGAGATAATTCATATAAACTTAATTTATAAATATCTTTTCTTCCTATAAACCTAAAAACCTCCCAATGTCACATTATCCTCTAGTAGTTTGTATACTCATTTATTTTTTCATAAGATATTTTAGAGTCTTTCATTTGCTATCTATTAGTTACCTGAGTATCACAGTACTTTGAGCCTAACAAGGAATCCATAGGTATCTTCTAAGTGAATGAGTAGTTGGGTATTACATTAAAAACAAAATAACAGAGAATATTCACCTCTGTGAAACCTGCTTAGAAATCTGAATTTGAGGAAATGTCAAAACCATGGCTTCAGGCATATGGTTTGATCGTGGCATTTGCCCTATTTGTGATTGTGTCTTCACATGCTCATTTATCCTCTTGGCTGACCTCCAAGTGTCAGTTTTGCACGGTTAATTTATTGTTTCTACTCCCCCCACTTCCCTTCACCTCTTTTCAGCACTCATTTGCTCCTGAGTATCTAGTAAATGCTTCATAGATCGACAACTCCACTGAAGTTAAAGTTCATTGAAAAGCCTTTGCACCACTTTATTATCTCAATTGAGAATCACTGTCTAATTTTTACATCCAGCTGTCACACAGCAAAACTACCTACAAGCTGAGAAAGAAAGTCTCTCAGGAACTCTGCAACAGTTAGCAAAGAAGTTCTGCCAAGATTTAATCAAACAATCAGAAAAAAAGGGCAGCTTCAGTAAGTATGGTTTGGTCACCTCTTCACCACCCGTCCCAGGAGTATTTCTGTGCTGCTATCTGTAAGGGATCTTGAGATCTGCGAGAAACATTGACTATGGCAAAAAGTAAGCCTGATTTAGAATGAAAGGGGTCCTATCCTTGGTTTCCCTTAAGACCATAAATGCAGCCCATGTGACACAAACTGGAGATATTATGGAGACAGTTGCTATGGATTCTTCAGGCACAACGTGACATGGGAAGAGAGTAAGCAGTACTGTGCCGACATGAATGCTACTCTGCTGAAGATCGCCAGCCAGAACATTCTGGTAAGGGGATTCCCATCTCAAATATTTTGGAATTATAGGAGAAAAATCTCAATGAAAAATGTTTTTTTTTAAAAAAAAAACACTTTTCTCATATCTTCTAGTTTGCACTAATCTGAAAACCTTATCAAGCTCAGTAACAAATGACAACATTTGAGAGTAGGAAGTGGTGAAATAGGATGAATGAGACTGAATTCTGGTGTTGTCTCTGCACCAAGTCATTTAGCCTTTTGCAGCGTCCTCGAATCTCTACTAATTTATGAAAGAATCTGAAAGTATAAAGAAACTCAGTACGATTGTACAATATAAATAACAGTGTTATCCTAATATTACATGCCTTCCTGTCTTCTGTTAAATTGTTGGCAATCTGAATAAACTATAATGCAAATTCCATCTTTTCATAAACTGTCCCAGACAAGTTTTGGTACAATGTTATTTGTAAAATATACAGCATTTCAGTTGAAATTTTTCTGCTAGACGTGTCTCCTCTTCTACCTTCCTCTCTTTGACAACTTCTAACAAAGGCTCTGTTTTCTTTTCTTGGTGCAATTTTTTTCTTTTTAAATTGAAATATAGTTACATTGGTTTCAGGTTCGTAACATAGTGATTCAAAAATTTTGCACATTACTAAATGCTCACCACAATAAGTGCAGTTACCATCTGTCAACAAGGATATTATATATATGGACTATATTCCCTATGCTGTACTTCCATCCCCAGGACTAATTTATTTTACAATTGGCATTTTGTACCTCTCTCTCCCCTTCACCTAATTCACCTGTCTCCTCAGTCTCTGCCCCATGGCAGCCACCAGTCTGTTCTCCCTGTTTAAGTCTTTACACAAGTTCTATTTTCAAACCAAATACATCCACATCCATTCATGTGCTCTTCCTTTACTGTTTAATGTGGCTTTCCCTTCTTCATGAATCCTGGGAGCAAGCCAGAAACCAAGCCTTGGAATCTGCCTTCTACCCAATAAGAATTATATTTTTTTTAAATGGCAGACATTCTTTATGGTATTTATCCTACAGTTTCTAATATAGTGATTATTCACTTATTTGATTTAAGAAATAAGCAGTCAAAAGTCGCTTTCACACAATATTTCTCCTAGAATGCCATTCTGCACCTCATACGTTTGTTAACAAGCTCAGGTCATTTTTTTTTTATTTGCCCTGTTTTCCTGGTAGGTATAAAAGTAAATGAACATTTCACCTCCTTTTAATTTTGTTACCCATAGATTGATAGATGGACTGATCGACTCACCCATTAATACAACAAATACATGGTGGAACTTTTCCAGGACCTGAAACTATACAGTAAATAACTATACCTAACCTAAAAGTCCCTAAGGTCATGAAGTTTATATTCTAATCAGAGCAAGAAGTAATGAACAAAACAAATAGGTGCAGTGTAGTAGATAGTGATAACTCATAAGCAGAAGAAGGTTTAAGTCAGGAAAAGTACTGCATGTTATTTGTAAATCCCTTTGAGAAAGACATCATATAATTCTTTTACCCAAATAACTAAAACAGATTAATACTACTGTATGTAAGTTTGGTGGGCAAGCTTAAACAATGCAGCCAAAGAAAGCAGAGGTTAAATCTAGGGAATGTAAAGTTTGGCAACAATGTATTTCTTTTTATTTTCTTTCTCTAGTTGTTTACTATTTATCTCATTTAAGGGCCATATATGGTATTCTATTTGGGACTCTAATCTTCAACTGATGGAAGAAAAACACAGAAATATTAGAATGTCAACTATCTTGTACATGTTTTTCCCCTGCCCTACAAGTATTTTTTTATTCTGAAAAAGTGAACTTGACTCAATTCTAAATATCAGATATAATTAATTAATATTAATATAGACATATGATCTACTTTTTTTCTGGTCCATGGTCTTGTGATGCTCTGTCTTTATGTCATTACAAGAATGATGGAAGCATTTTGACCACTGTATTTATTCGGTTTGCAATAGGAATACATCAAAAACAGGACTGCATTAATTCGTTGGGTTGGATTATCCTGCCAGAATCCTAACAAGGTCTGGATGTGGGAAGATGGCTCAGTTCCCTCCAAAAATATGTAAGTCACTGGACACTCAGAATATAAGGCAGAACTAGGATTTCACTCCTGAGATCCTCTATCCTCTTGAGAGCAAGTTACTTGAAAGTTGGAAGGTGGCTCTGTACCTACTGAGGGTCATATAAGCAGAAGCTGAGCCATTCATATCTAATCCTAACAAGAGAGTGTTAGTACTGAAACAGTTCTGCTCTCCCTACCCTCTCATTCCTCTGCTCTTTATCTAATCACAATCCACTTCTACTGGTAGTTTTTTCTGGTTCATTTCTACCCTCAACTGTACCATTAGAACATTTTGTGTGTTTTGTTTTGTTTTATGTTTAGCTTGATCTGTTTCTCTTCACATCTTTTTAGAACAAAGTTATCATCATTATTTCATGGTTGAAAGTTATTGCTTTCTTTTGACTTTTTAGTATCACATTATCCACTTTTCCACTCCAGGGGTCTCCGAGAATCAGACGCAGCATCTCAAGGTAGTCGTAATGTTCATGTCATCTCCATCCTTCCACAGACAATCCAGGCAAAGGGGCCAACTACATTAAGCATTACTTAATATGGTTTTCAGCACCTTTTGTTCATCCTGTACATCAAAACTACAATGTCTCTCCAGTTAAAATTTAAACTGATAAGCAAAACTTATACAATCCGATCATTGTTTAAAATGCTAATTAATTTATTCAACAGATATTAGGGATTTACTATGGGTAGGAACGAAGCTTGCGACAAGGACAAGCCAGCTTCTTCACAGACCTTGGGCTTTTTCTCCTACCCCTTCATTCACAGTATTGCAGGCTAACCAGTATTCCCTCCCTTCTTTCAACAGATCAACTTGTTTTGTTGTCTAAGGGTTTTTGTACTTGTTCTTTGGCCACTCTCTGAAATTGTCTATTTATTTGTTGGCTTCTTACCAATATCCTCTCCTTCTAAGTTCCCAAGAAGAAGGGACCTTTCCTTTGTTTTCCACTCTATTATCAGCACATAAAACAACTTGGGGACAGAGGAGTTATCCCACAAATATTTGGTAAATGAATCAATGCATTATCAATATATTCTTGGTTCTCTTGTCATAAGCAGTGTAACAGAATAGAGATAAGTTAGCAGGCAATTACAATCCAGTGTGCTGTCTACTGTCTCCTATCCTCATTTAAAAAATACATCCCAACTTTTCCTTGAGCTCAATCCCTGCTGCGCAGCTCCTTGCCTTATAGAGCTCTCCCACCTCCTCTGCTTACCTAAATCCTCTCCTTCCTTCAAGACAGAAATAAGGTATGATCTTCTATGAAAAGATTAAAAGATAGAGCCTTTCCCAACCTTCCAGATCTCCATCCGTCTACAAGTTCCTCTGGACTTCTTACATACCTCCCATTCACTGGCTGCTTAATCTTCTGCTATCTTAAATGGCTCTTGAGTGTATATATTTTATACTTCCAAGCAGATCAGAAGTTTCTCAATGATCTAAAAGTTGTTTTTACCTTTTCCCCCCATGCATTTTGTTTCCACTTTGTGTCACAAAAGACTACACCCAGAGTTTGACTGTTGATGGCTGATGAATTTTCAAAGGAACTCATTCTCTTCTCCATTTACAGGTTTCAGCTTTCTGAAAATGGAAGAGAAAATAAGTGTTGTGCCTATTTTCATAATGGGAGAATCCGCCCTACCTCCTGTGAGAACAAGCATTACTTCATCTGTGAGAGGAAGGCAGGCATGGTGAGGATGGACAAGCTGTTGTGACAGAGAAAGATGCACAGAATGTCATGACCAGGGTTTGACTGCACAATAAAAGATCTGGATGAAGGAATCGCTTCCAGAAAATTGCTCATTTTCCCCTTATTTCCCTTAGAGTCATGTTTGCCTTATCTTTCCTTGTCTTTTCTTTATGTACCCCTTATGCAAAGGGGTATCTTAGTCCCTCCTTTGTACATCCAGAAGCCAACCTGTGAGTTAGTTATTTGTTTCCCAATTGTTCTGTACCCACTAATATTCTTTTTCCTCGTCTTCCATTGCTAACTATCTAAATAGAGTATGATTCACTGCATCTTCCTCTGTAAATGCGTACATTTTAATTGGAATAAGAAAGGTTAGTACTTAATTGACCTGAGCTATGCAAAATATCTAACTTTGAAAACTCCACAAATTATCTGTTTGAAAGACAGCCTAAGGTAGTGGAAAGAAAACTAAGCTTGGGATTGTAAAATAATTTAGATGGTTTACTTAACTATAGTACAACCATGGGCTGACCAGTCCTGTAGCCTCTTTAACTTCTATTTTCTCCTATTTAAAATGGGAGGATACCCATCTTACATGCCTCACAGTTTCGCAACATAAAATAAAACTTCAGCATATTAACCATATCAGAAAGTCCATGAAAGCAAACAGCATGGCTTCTATATGCCATCCTATGCCCAGTGCCATGCATAGTTCCTGGCTCACAGGAAATAGAAAAATATTTGCTGCTCGCTGTGGGAGGCAGTTCATTAGAAGGCACCGCAGTCAGTAAAGCGCTACACAAATACAGCTGCTATTCCAAGTCCACCTCTGGTCTGACTCAGCAGCAGTGATTTCCTATGCAAAAGAAGGGAAATGAAGTTTGCAAGAAACTGATGGGGTTTGAAAATGAATTCTTAACAAGGTTCATAGGTTAATAGGACAGCAAGTAAAAATGCTTTATCTGGTTCTTTTCCTGTCAGTTCTATGCTTGGTTTTTGCTGAGTAACTCATGAAGTATTTATAGATACATTGGGGAGATGCCCTTTAGCAGGATAACAGGCAAAAACTGCATTTCTTTCCTATAGCTTTCCTGAAGGTACTCATTCTTCTTAAATTAGTGGGAGTAAAACTTACAAACGTGATTCTCAAACATCTCAACTGAAGTGTTTGTTAAAACATGCAGGTGTTCAAACACGAATACTTAGGGTGCTCAGTTGGAAGGCTGAGGAGACATAGGGTCCTGTTTTTAATAAACACATAATTTTAATACAAATAGTCTTTGATACATTTCAAGAAACATTACTTTAGAACTTACCCCCTGTGTGGCTTTTGGTAAAATAGTCTCTGAAAATTCAGTCTCTTCATCTGTGAAACAGGTTTAAGACTATTACATTACTCATAAGGTAATTGTGAGGGTTATTTAATATAATTATATAAAGTACTGAGCAGAGTCCAAATGTAACAAATACTCAATAAATATGTATTACTTGTATAGCTTTGTGCACTAACACCCAAAGATACCTGACTCCTTATCTTGTTTTAGACTATCAATACACAAGCAGATTTGGGGGAGTTGAGGAAAAACAATACCTCTGATAATGAAATCTTGGCTTTTGGGGGAGAATATCATTTTCCAATTCTTACTTGTTTATTCAAAGAAACCAAATAGAAAGTAATAATTCAGAAAGCTATCCAAAAATCAGCTGTATCTCTGAATTTCAGTGTTTTATCTCCCTCAAATGGAAAAGCATATATTTATACACCACTATGGCACAACTGACTTCCAAAGACTAATATCTTAGTGCATGATAAAAATACAATTAAAAAAATATGAATCAATCAGACTGTGCCTACAAAGACTCTCTTTTCTGGTGCTCATATCAAAAACATCTTGTGCATAAACTCAGAAGAACACAGATTTTTTAATAGCACAAGTTCTGTGATCAGCCCACCTTGTTCCAAATACTAACTCTTCCACTTACTACATGAGTGAATTTTGCTAAATAATTTGGCTTTTCAGTGTCTTGATTTAATTTACAATAAAGTAAATTACAACACTCTAATAGTAGTACCTATTTCAAAGGTTCTTGTGAGAATCACAATAATTCATGTAAAAGCCCTTCGAAACAATACTTGGGATGTAATGACTAATAAATAACAGTATGATTAAAAACATCAATACATTAATATTAATATAATACAATCAAAGCATCAAAAGATTAATATAATATAAATAATAAATTTTTTATTGGGAGAGCCCAATGAGTCCCCCAAAGAAATATTTTAGAGAGCATACTGTATTTGGGAAAACTAGACCTTTCTGAGCCTGATATTTAGGGCTGACAGAATTTGAACCTGAAAATCAGTAACAAGCCATGAAACTTCAGTTCCTGTGTCCCTGACATTTGTCTTAATGCACATGTGATATACTTATGGTACCCCTCTTTTGCCTCAAGACTGTCCTTAGATTACCCCTTGAGGGTGCAATTGTTTGCACCCTCAAGACAGAAATCATCCCATTGTAAATGTTACCCATTAAGTCCCGTAATTTCTCAGATCAAGATCTCAGGTCACATAGAAATCAGATAAAATGCTTGGAGAATTTACTGGACATTCTCCACTTGCCTCTCCAGATCCTCTCAGCCCCACCCTGTGCCTTGGGAGGCAGAGCTCAATGAACAGCATTATCTGGGCACATGGCCTCTATCTTCCAGTTAGTTAATTTAGCTACTGGAGGTACTGGCAGTGATCAGAGGGTGAAAGGAGAGTGGTTAGGGTATTTATTCCCCTGGATCTCTCCCTGTTATGCCATGGTTTGGCAAAGGCTGTATGTTTCCTTCAGGCCTGGGAGTGGTAACAGCATCCCAGTGCATATTCCACCATCCATTTTTGACTCCTTTAATCCTTCCCAAAATGTCACACACAGAGTCTTTGTTAACTGTCCTTAGATTACTCCTTGAAGGTGAAATTGTTTTCTTCTCTAACAGAGGCCAATGACTGAGCCAGTAAAATACTAAAACAAAAGAGAACATTGCAATTTTGCACGTTGTTAGGATTTGCAGATCTGGCAAATTAGAAAGACATGACCTTTGGCCATGAGGACAAATGGTCAATAGATGAATGATAATTAAAGTATCAAATTTCTCAATACCAGTGCAGCAGTCACAGGATGTGGCAGAAATGGCCATCTATCCACTAAATAATTCAGGCTTCCCTTCTGGAATAAAGTAGTAATTGAAAATTTGCTAGCCAGGCAAAAATTACATTTATCAGGCCCAACCTTTAGATCTAAACGTGGGCTTTCCATTAGGGCACATGGATGTGACATATGTTACCTCTTGGTTATGGCTTTTGGGAAGCAGGTGTGGATTTGCCACTGGATTCTCCTCTTTTCCTTTCCAATGACTGGAAGTAGACCATGCCAATGTCTCACGAGGTACAATGCACCCAGGTGCCATTTAGGAGAAAATGACCCACTGGCTAGGATTACTGGAGCTAAAATGTTATGTGAGCAAGAAATAAACATTTATGGTGTTGAACAATGGATTTTTTGAGGTTTACTTATCATAGCAACTGTATTCCCCTAAGTAATACCGTGTGTAAATGTATTTCAGGGATGGAGTCCCATCCTGGCTTACATGTTGAAGGACACACAGTGATCTACAGCTCCTTACCCTGCTTTGCCCAATGGGACTCTCCTCATAGTGTTGGTATGTAAGCCATTCCCATGCTTCATGTCCTACATCAAATACAAATGCATTCCCTGCACTTCTATCCTTTCCTTGTTGACCCTAACCCAGTGCTATCACCTTCAATATCTGCTACATTTTAGAAATAAGAGCATTAAACTACTCCATTGTTGCTGGACAGCTGTGTCTGGAGAGGTCTCTCTCTGTGCACAAGGTGAAGCACTGCAAGAAACTTCAACGTGGATGGTGGGGGTGGGAGGCGGGGGTGGGTGTGTGCTTGACTCTGAACGAGAAAGTATCACGACCCTTCAGGGACCGAAGCAACACGCCCAAGGTCTTGATTCTTCTCTAGGCTTTATTGTCTAATCTCTCGCGGCGGTTACAGCAGTTGTCGGGCAGCTCTTCTCCCTCCCGGCGGGCTCCCTTATATTCAGTTACCCAACCAATCCGGGACAGTATCATGCGTGACCTTTAAGCGGATAGGTGTCACGCGCCACTATAAGGGGCAGCATGAGCTGTGCACGGGTACGGAAGTCTGCTGGGCCAATCCCCAACAGGGGAGAGGGGGAAAGGTTGGTGAGCAGGAAGCAGGCGCCATCTTTAGGGCGTTGTCCAGCTAGAGTGGGGCTCAGCCTCGGCTGTAGGCCGGGCCCCCACAGAAAGAATTCTTGAGTAGGTCAGAGGAGTGTAGGTAAGGAAGGAATTCATTAAAGCAAGAGTAGCAGGTAATGGCAGCTGCCTTGCAGGCAGCAGAGAGCAAGGAACAGCAGAGGGAGGACAGGGAAGGCTACTGAACTCCTGCTCGGCATGGGGCAAATCCCTTGCCAACTCCTGAAGCCAGAGTCACATGGTGTCCCACATCCACTTGCATCTGCACAGCATGGGAACTAAGCCCCCACCACCCCAGCATTTCGGGGAGCCACAGAGCACTGGATGGAGTGAGTTATGTTCTGAGAACTTCCCAAAGGCAAAGAAAGGAGACTTCTGGCAGGCTACTAAGGAGCCTGATTGTGTAGCTACAGTTCTGTCTGCGTCACCCATGCAAGGGGAACTTGCAAGCCCAGTTCAGAGCTCTCAGTTCTTCCCTACGTGTCTGAAGTAGGACAGAGAGAGTGAAGATTTGCGCTTCAGTCTAAAAACTGGAATGAAACAGCAAAGTAACAAAGATGCTTGCCACTGGAAGAGCTCAGAGACAAAAAGCAGTAAGTTGAGCAGTGAAAAGTTTTTATTTAAAGCAAAAATTACACATTAGAAGAAAGAGGAGTGAGGACAACCTCAGAGAGGAGGCGCACTTAAGGGTTTGGGGTTTGGGGTTTTATAGGGCCTTTAGGGTAGAGATCAGCATAAGGCATGATATTTACAGGTGATTCAGAATTCCTTTGAAATTTTATCTTAAGAAAAGGTTATTCAGGCGACTGTCTTGACCCAGATCTTGGCATTCTTTATCCATATAGGTTCTTTTACACTTGGAGGTCTATCTCCTGACCTGGTTACAAAGTTACTTAATTGATTAAGGTGCTGGAAGAGGAGGAAGAACAGTTTATAGATTAAGTTAAAGAACAGATGGGCCTTTTTCTCTGGCTAAGTAGATGTTACAATGGCATGGCCCTTGCCCATGTCCCTGCCCTGCCTCACCGTCACTGGCCATTTGAGTTCAGCTTCTTTCTCATTTCCTTCTTTGATAAGTTGTGCTTTGGCTTAAACTTCTACTTTCTGGATGAAGGTGCTAGTTCTATTCCTTAAACTTAAACATAGTTTCCCACTAGTGTGAAAAAGTTGTCATTTCAGTTCTTCCGTCAACCTGCTCCTGATGACAAAGGAAGTTATTTGCCTCTGCTCCTCAGGTGGACGGCCTCACCTCTCCAAGCAACTCAGGCATGCAGGAGGAAGATGCATACTCCTCTCTTCAGTGGGATAATCCAACCCCAAACCCTTTCCAGAAACATCTGTCTTCCACCAAGTATTCAGGTAACCCATTCTGATTATTAAATCCAAGACTTTGCAGTTTATGCTTTGGTACCTGTTCGGGGATGAGCCCAAGGTGATTATTCTCATCTGAGATAAACCCACTTAAAGGGCATGGTGCTGTGCATGATGTGCTAACATTAACCAATGAAATGAAATGCAGGAGAAATAAGTGAAGATGCAGAAGAGAAAGAGTGATGGATGGGCTTACAAATGTGCAATGCTTTTCTTCTCTCTTTCTCTCTTGCTGGAAAGACAAAGATTCCTGAATTTGGAAAATAAGTGAAAGAAATCATACGGTTTGTATTATTTTAGTTCCTGCATAAAACACCCCAAAAAGTATTCTGATTAATACTAAGAAATAAAGAGAAAACACAGGTTGAAAAACTAGCACTATTTCATCAACCTGGAGCTGCTTCAGTGATCCAGCCTGTGGTTATTAATTAATTAATTACCACAGACTCAGGGGTTCAATACAACACGAATTTTTAATCTTACTAGAGTTCAGAAATCTAAAATGGGTTTCCCTGGGCTAAGACGAGGGATTCCTTCCAGACACTCTAGGGGAGAAGCCATTCCCTTGTGATTTCCAGTTTCTAGCACTGCCCTTCTCAGTTTACCTGGTTCAGGGCCCCTTCTTCCATTCTCGAAGCCAGCAGCCAAACACCTACAGCACTCTGCCCCTCTCTTCGGAACACCTCCAACTAGTAAGGGCCCAAGAAAAGATGAATGTCCTCCTCCCAAGATCCTTAACTTCATTACAAATGTTAAGTCTCTTCTGCTGCCTAAGGAATCATGTACAGGTTCCAGGCATTAGGACCCGGGCATCCTGGGCAGGGGCATTCCACAGCCTACTACACTATCCAAAAATCAGTATTATCCATTTTTCCCTGATTAGTGATAAGAATAGCACAAATCACACATTCTTCATTTCTCCTTACTGAAGAGATGCAAAAATCACCTGGAAGAATGTTCTTTGTCCAAAATTGTAGGTTAAAAGAAAATATCGCTGAACCAGTCATGTTCAATTGAAAGGAGATGAGAAGATGCCAACACGGCATATTTGCTTTCCCAAACAAAGGCATGCTCCCTGGTTTGCTATGCTCTCCAGAGGCTTGTGGGGAAAGAATGCCTGTAACTATCTAGTTAGGTGGTGGTAGCATCATGAAAGAATACGAGAAGTGTTCAATTGGGCATTTTTCCAAATCAGATGTATTCCAACTCATAACTTGCATTGCAAAGAGTGTGAGTTCTCTTTTTCCTGGCCTATGGAGCCACAAGGTTTCAGAGACTAGTAGGAATGCATGCCTAGTGTTAATTCCTTCTCATACTCAGTTGACTCTTATCCCAGCCCATCTCTCTCCTCTACTTTCTCTAACTCAATTTCATTGTCTCTTTTCCTTGCTTAGGAACATGGTGTCTTGCGATGATGGTTTTATGTATTTTCTGCATTGGCTCACTAGCAACCTCCATTTTTTTGGGGATTAAGTGTAAGTAACAAGGATATCTTTAAAATAACTTATATGCATATATGTATATACTGCAGGAGCTTTATATGCAATTATACATGTATATCATTATAAATAAAACTTCCAAATTATAAATGGATCAATAAACCAATTAGAAACATCCAAATACATATAAATGATGCAAAGTAGTGGCTTCCTGATTGAACTTACGGGTCGTTTATTTCACATGACTCTCCAAGCACTTGATGCCACTGATAACTAGACATTACAAGTTGACTAACTCAAATTTAATGCCATAGGTCTATTTGGGGAAAATGCAAGTAATGATTCATATTATGATTCAGTTCAAATCATATTAGCATACAAAAGTATACAATTTGACAGATTTCAGTATATGTTCTTCCTTTTCTAAATATACATTTGTTCTACACTTGATTTATGTAGATTATTTTAATAAGGGTTTTTCACTTTACATTAGGCAAGGTTCAATTTAATGTTTAATGCAAACCTGAAAAGTTCATTTGAGCCATATTTACCCACATTTCTTTACTCCCTTTTGTCCAAATTTGACATGTTTCCATATCTAGCAAGTGAAATTTTCATAAAATTTAACAGTTACAGAGCTGAAGATCCAAAAAAAGTATTAAGAACTTTTATCACCACTCAGGCCAGCACTAAAAAATATGCTTAGAAGGAGTGAGATGAAGGTCTGTCCAGATCGTTATTTTTGGATGTCTTGGCAAATCATTGTCTAAGTAGGAGACCTTGGCTGGTAATGGAGAATTTCAAGTTCTGAGAAGGAAGAAGAGACAGGTTCAGATTTGCTTTTGCAAAATATTTCATCTTGTTCATGCTAGCTAGAGCTTTGTTCCTCATAGTTATTAGAGGAACATTTTAAGGAATAGTAGGAATTCAATAAGTAATTGTTACCTTGTCAATATCCTCAAATTTCACAGCCCACAACAAATGTTAGAACTTCCAGAAAGGTTTTCCTATCTCACCTTATCCTCCCTCAGTGCTTTAGCAAAAAACAATTACTTAAATCAAATACCAGCCCAGTTTCCTAAGAAATTCACATTTAAATATCTATTTATCAAGCAGATACACTGGAAGTACTGTAGAGTTGGAAGAGAACTGATAGATAAGTCAATTAACACCTAAAAATCCAGTTTCTTCTGTAAAACATGGGACTTTTAATGGACTATTGCCAAGCTCCCTTTTAACCAAAGTACAAGAATCCATGTTCAACTGACATTACAAATATCAAAAGATATGGTTTAAATATCACTTCTATAAAGTAAATTTCAATATTGTTTATAAGAATTAAATATGTGGAATAAGAAGATAAACTTGAAGTATAAAGATCACTTTCAGTTAAAAACAAGATCAACTAAAAATACAACATTGTTAAGGAATATCACCAAGTGGATGAGATGTAGAATTTGTTTTTTATATAAATATAAACCTATATCTCCAGTCACCAATTTATAGCCAGAAAGCATATGGTACATACCGCGGATGTTTATAAATGCATACTGTACATTTTCCATGCCTTCAACAAACTTGCTGTCCAGTGAATACTTAATTCTGTTTTCCTTTCTGTGTAGTACATGAAATCTGTTTAAGAAACTATGACAATCATGTTCCTAACAAATCTGGGTTATCTGAACCTGTACTAATTAATTTTGACCCCAAAATCCCTCTTCTGGAAATTTTTCCTGTAGGTAATCCTGCATGTGTGGCCATGGGAGAAAAAAAGGATTGGAAAAACGCCAATGTCTGTCATTACGGGCCCATTTAAATCCACAATGGCACATCCACACTAAGGAAGGTCCTGAAACAAGGAAGAGAGGAGGGGGAGGGGAGGAACTAGAACGGAACTGGAAGGAGCAGAGAGGAGGGAGAGAAGAAGGGGGGCGGGGGTGGGGGAGGAGAGAGGAGGGACCAGCGCAGCTGCTCTGTAGGCTGATAGGCAAATGTCTCCATGACATACTGTTAAATGAAAAAAGAAACATTTAAAATAATGTCATTATTATGCCACAACTTGATTAAGAAAGGATATATTCTTCAAGGTACACCAACCCTGGAAGGATGTATAGGAAATAACAAAAAATGGGGCAAGAGGACTGAGATGGATTGAACGATGCGTGATATTTCAGTGTTTATTTTTTTGGGGTTTTAAGTGTTTTAATCCCATGGATGGTGTATGTATTCAAAAAAATCTTTTTAACTCCCAAGACAAAAATTACATGAAGAAAATGTTACTTTGATGAGGGTAAAGTTAAACTAGGTAGAAAACAAAGCATTTCAAATGTTCAGTAATATCCAGAAAAATGCTTACAAAAAAAGTTTGGGATTTCTTTTCTTTTAATAACTATAATTATCTACTTTGCAAAGCTATGTATCACAATGTAAAGTATATTTACCCTTAGCTCTTGTTCAAGTATAATGGCATATTTTTTGTTACTAACATTATCATTTGCCAAGGTTGTCATACATTCTTGGTACTTAGATTTTTCAAACTAAAACCAGTTATAGGAAAAAAAGCAGTTGTGTTAAATAAGAAGCAGTTTGTTCACTTTGGACTCTCTTAATTGTTTGTCCCTGCTAGTTATTATATTACAGCCAGTAGGTTTTGAGTTATGAAAATGATTTTTAATTTTAAATCATTATTCCATCTTAATCATGTTCCATTTTCATAAACAATGTTAAATGTTCTCTTCATGAAAATGATCATAGTAAGATAAAGGTTAATACTAATATTGAAACTATATATATATATATAAATTATATTTAGTGAGTATATATAATTTCTATATATATAAGTACATATATACAGCGAGAGAAATTATATAATATATATGTTTATTAGAAACAGGGACATGAATTCTGACAAAGATAGTGATTGAAATCTACATCCTTCTAATTAAAATATCATGTTATAAATAACAAATGAGCTAATTGCAAATTATGGTTACATATTATTAAAAGTGCCTTGGTACATATCTGACAAAATGAGTGGCAAAATAAACCATGTTACACTGATACAAAAGAATAAAATGCAATAATTTTAAAAAGTCTTCTAGAACTATCATCATTAACACAGATATAAGGTTATGAAATATTTTTTCATGAAAAAGATTAAAATGTCATTTATAGAAAAATTAATTTTATAAAAATTATATGTAAAAGATGTTTCTTAACATGGATATAGGGATAAAAGTTTCAACAGATATAAAGTAAATGTCAACTTTGAGAGGTAGATTTAAAGGTAGGTAAAGGTAATTTCTTACTTTCTTCTTACTATCTGTATTTTGTTTAATTGTATAATACTGTACATGCTAAATTACTTTCTATTTTAAAAAGCCTATAATGCAAAATATTTTCTAAGAAATTAGGTTTTGTCATTTGTTTTTACTGTCCTATTTCACGTTCATAATTCATCAACTAAGTATATATATATCATTATGTAACACTTCTATTTTATTGGGCTTTATAAGTATTTTCTTATATTTACTCAGGTAATTTCATTGTTTAATCTTTATTTCTCACTTACCAATGGGTTACACCCAACACCAGTAAAAGTGTAGTGGTTGTTTCCCATTTAGGGGGAAAAATAAAGAGAAGTCTCATTTCCCTTTCTCCAGTTTTATTACAGTTTTATGTAACATAAGCTTTTCATACAGCAACAAACCAACAATAACCTCAAAAATATAATTAATCTAGAAAAAGTTCATCGAAATTTAAAATTTTAGAATCAAATTCCCAACCAGAGATTATTATTTTTCAGTCTAAAAATACAGTAGAAAATCTTTAAGATTAAGGCTAGGCAAAGAGTTCTTAAATTTGACAACCAAAGAATAATTAATAGGCTGAAAAATCAACAAAATTGAAAATGATACTATGAAGAGGATCAAAAATTAAGTTACCAGGCAGGTTATCAATAGAACGAAATAAATATCATCATGTCCTGTTCCCCCCTCTGCTTGGATCCAACCTTCTGACAAGAAGAAGCAAACAATCCGAACTGTTGGCAGCCTGGTTCCTTTATCTACAGATGGACGGGGAATAAACAGCTGCCTTTTGCAGTCTGCGGCTCCTGATTTCTAGCATTCCCTTCTCAGTACCAGTGCTGATAACTAGAACAGATCATAAAATGTAGATATGCAGTTAAATAATTTGCTATGAATAGTTATTTGGCCAGTTAATGAGGAGACCATTAACGTGCAGGTGCAAATTGCTTTTTTATACATAAACTGTATTCTTTCCCTTCATAGCAATATTCTCTAACAGGATCACAGCCAAATGGGATCCAACCCTCCTTGGAGGAAGAGCTAAGTAGATTTTGTGTGGATCAACCATAATCAATATTTACTTAACTTGCATTTCTCTAGGAATCCATTCTCCTAAAACAGCAGCCTGACAGGAGCGTGCGGCCAGTGCGGCCGCTACAGGCCAGCTCAGACCCTCTGCATCAGGGTCCTTTTGGATCTTGGTTAACTGTCTCCTGCAGTTAAAAAATCGAAATCATTTTACAGTTCTGCCTCTTTCTTTCTTTTTTCAGTTTCCCTTTTAAAGATCTTATTTTAACGTCTCAAGATCTGTCTGCATGTATAGATGTTTCTTTTTAATTCAGTAATTGATTTCCCTGATGCTTTTCTCTCCTATAAAACATGTCTACATAACTGCCATTTAATAATTATTAATATGTCATAAGCTATTTTAAACAAGTTTAATAATTATGCTAAATCACTTCTCCATGTAAAGGCAGCCGGTATAGCCCTTAACCCAGAACTAATCAATATGGTCAGCAAGGTCACAGAATACAAGGTAAACGTACAAACATCAATTGTATTTTTATATACTAGTAATGAATACATGGACCCCAAAATTAAAAATGCAATACTGCTTACAATCACTCAAAAAAACAAAATACTTAGTTTTAAATCTAACAAAACATGTACAGAACCTTTTTTCTGAAAACTACCAAACACTGATAAGCAAATCAATTGAGAGACATGCCATGTTCTTGGATTGCAAGACTCAACATAGCAGATATGTTCATTCTTCTCCAGTTAATATATAGTTTTAAGGCAATGCCTATTATGATCTCAGCAAGATTTCTTGTAGATAGAGACAAGATTATCTAAAACTTACGTGGAAAAACAAAAGGCCTGGAATAGTTATAACAGTTTTCAAAACAAAAATAAAGTGGGTAGAATCAATCTGTGGTATTTCAAAACTTATCATATTGCTACATACACATACACATACATTCATAATATACAGTAGAAAATCCAAAAATAGAGCCATCCAAATATGCCAAACTGATTTTTGGCACAGGTGCAGAATCAATTCAATGGAGGAGGATAACCTTTTCAACAAATAGTGTCGAGAAATTGGACGTGCACAGCTAGAAAAAGCAAAGACAAAAAAATAAAAACCTCAACTTAAGTCTCATGGCTTATAAAAAATAACTCAAAATGGATCATAGACTTATAAATAGAAATTATAAAGCTTAGAGAAATTTTAGTCTAAAAATACAGTAGAAAATCTTTAGGATTAAGGCTAGGCAAAGAGTTCTTAAATTTGACAACCAAAGAATAATTAATAGGCTGAAAATCAACAAAATTGAAAATGACACTATGAAGAGAATAAAAAATTAAGTTACCAGTTGGGAACAAATGTTTGCAAACCACATATCAATAACAGACTAGAATATAGAATATAGAAAGAACTCTTAAAACTCAACATTAAAATACCAGACCATCCTATTAGAAAATGCACAAAAGACATGAAAAGAAATTTCACCAAAGAGGATAGATATCAAATAAGCACAAGGAAACACGCTCAACCTAACTAGCTATTATGGAAATGAAAATTAAAACTGCAGTACAGATATCATTTCACACCCAGAGGATGGCTGAAATAAGAGCCAGTGACAGCATCAGATGCTTGTGAGACTGCCGAGCAGTAACACTCATACACTCCCGGTAAGGAATGTAAAATGGTGCAGTGATTTTGGAAAATAGTCCAAAATCTTCTTGAAAAACTAAACTTGACACATGCTTTCAACATAGCAATTGCACTCCTGAGCATGTACCTCAGAGAAATGAACACTTGTATTCACACAAAGACCCGCATGTGAGTGAATGTTCATGGCAGTCTTTTCTGCAGTGACCTAAACCTGAAATCTATCCAGATGTCCTTCGGTAAGTGAACAGTTAAATAAACTACAGGACATCCGTATCATGGAATTCAACTCAACCATCAAAAAGGAACGAGCTGTTTATCTGCACAACAATCGGGATGAAACTCCGGAGAATTATGTTGAGTGAGAAAAGCTAATCACAGAAGGTTATATGCTGTATGTTCACATTTCTGTAACATCAATGAAATACAAAATTATCAAAAGAGAACACAAATGAATGATTACCAGGGATTAAAGAGGGGGAAGGGCAGGAAGAAACTTTGACTGCATAACTTATCTTAAAAATATACTTGCACATTTGTGAAATTATGTATGACTAAGTTTCTTTACTACAGTATTGATTTCTATAGTACCAAAAGATTACATATAGTCCAAAAGTCAATGAAAATGACTAAAATAAATCATGATACATCCATATAATGGAATCCTATACAGTTCTGATGACAGAGGAGAAAGCTTTGTGTATGGATACAAAATTACATCCAAAATATATTTTAAATGATAAAATAAAAGGAACAAAGCCATGTGAACAGATTGCTACTATTTGTGTAAAGGGAAGAGAGTGCATTTCACATTCATTTGCTCACAAAATTCAAAATATCTCTGGAAGAATAAAAAACATATTGGTAAGCCCGACTGGTTTGGGGATTGGAATTGGGCAAATAAGGAAATGAGGGACAAAGAGATGTTTTGCTGTGCAGCCTTTGTGGTTTTTGATTCTTGAACAGTGTAAATTTTAAACAAAAACAATGAATATTAAAGTCACAAAAATAATCAGTAATTGGTAGTTGTCTTTAGTCTGTGCTGAAGGATTACTTTGTTATAATTTGTCCATATTTATGAGGAATGATTGGTGTTTTTGAAGTGTTCCAGGTGTCTGCTATCGTAATGAAGCAGCAAGAAAAACTTACCCAACAGGACAGAGCACTGCTGACCCTCACGCAGTGGCAGAGAAACCACAGCCTCCAGATGAAATATTGCCAAACCTTCATTGAAAACTCTTTCTGTTCAGGTAGTAGGTATACAATCAGTTTCCACTGTGCAAATACAATGTAGGCACCAATTCCTCAAAAGAAACAGTGATGCACATTTTATTTTCCTTATTATAAAATTCTGTCTTTATTATAAAAATTCTTAATGATAAAATTGTAGTCTGGATTTTATAATAGGACTCTGAAGTTTAATCTTATTTGTATATCTCAATATATGTGGAAAATACTGAGGTTCCAAGAAACGCAGATAAAGAAAACACGTAGTCAAATCTCAAAGTGAAATGTGTGAGATTAGCAGATTGGATTAAAAAAATAAAAAGCAGCATTCTATGTTTTATCCAGCCACTCAAATTTATAAGTGTATATAGAGAGATCCAAATTCCTCAATATATTTAGTTTAGATATTGCTTTATATTCAAATTTAGGTAATTATCTCTTTGAGCAGAAAATTCATTTTGGAAATTACTATAAAAGTATAAAAATGCAGGCTTCAGCTCTTTTTAAAAATTCTATGAAGTTATTTCAATTTTATCTTTTACCATTCTTACAAGCATTTTAAACCTAAAACAGTCTATTTCTACCTGTTGTATAGTTTTCAAATATTCAGTGATTACTTAATTAGCATTTAATATTACTACACATAATTTGGAGAATTAACTTCCCTGTAATGGATACCATTTAAGTAATCAGCAATGAGAGAGGTCAAAATCCTACCATAGCTCCTTCTGGTTGAAATGTAGTCAAGCAAATGTACAAAGAAACACTTTGTGCCCAACAACGTTTTAACACTAACAGGTCATTGCAAGCATGAGTTAGGCCCACCTCTGAGCCACCAACCTTGAATGAGAGGCAGTATCCATTTTGGAGACCTACAAATCCAATATGCATTCCAAGCCTTCAACTGCCAATGTCAACATTATTTATGCTGTAACTTTAACCATTTGCATGATTCTCTTTAGCATGGATTCCAGATAAGGAGTATTGAAGAGACTTAAATAACTCAACATCTGGGCTATGGAAACTGATAATGAACTATTTGTGACCTCTCTCCAGAAACTAGAGTTCTGGAAGTTTCAGTGTCTTTCCAGAAACCCTCAGTCTAATTCTGCTCTTTGATTCCCCTTTTACACATTTGAGCATCCTTTTGTGAATACATTCTTTCTTGCAAAAGTTTCCATAGAAATGATTAAACATTATGGCTTTCTTCTCAGCTACATCAGAGTCCTAAGATAAGCACCAGTCACCTGTGTTTTTCTTCAGTTTTCCTCATCCACATATTTTTAAATCACTCCATAAGGTACTCTGATCTTCTCTCAATTTTATGTGAAATATTCTTATGTTTAACTCTCAGAGTTTAAACATCCACTCGAGTCTGGTTACTCAACTTGCCTAATGCTCCAGGACATTCCGAACTAAACTGGGCCAGTAAGATGAACAGACACAAAACAATAAGCAAACAAATGAAGGCTGCAAAGGATGTAAATTTAAAGAAAAGAAAGATTTATAAAATTAGAATTACCAGATGAATTATTTAAAAAGAGGAACAGGGAAAAAGTACCTCCAAATTAATTTTGTCTCAAACTAATTCTTAGAGACCTATTGTAGTTGGAAAAAATTATGTAGATTTTACTCTAGTCTCAGGGAACCTGAAATTGGCAAGTATCATCCTAAGAACTATTTCATTAGAGTGTTGAACTTTACAGGGGGTATTGCAGGGGATTATTTTGAGCTGTGCTACTAATATTTTTACAAGAACACTAATAAAGTAAAATGTTTATATTCAAAGGCTATAACTGCAGCCCTTGTCCAGACAATTGGATACAGAATGGAGAAAGTTGTTACTATGTCTTTGAAAATTGGAAAATTTGGCACAGCAGTAAAGAGGATTGTTTGAAAGAAGGCGCTAATCTCCTACAAATAGACAGCAAAGAAGAAATGGTAAATAATGTTTTACGGTTATGTATCATTCTGAAAATACCATGTTAAGCACTAAAAGAAAAACGTAATTCCAGTAAGACAGATTCCTTAATTATTCTATAAAGGTAGTGTATTTGTTTTAATAAAGGATTAAAAAGAGACAAAATAAGAATTAGTATGGTTGGCTCTCCTTTTAATTGGACAAACAAAAAAAAAATGACTATCCAGAAATCAAAGAGAGTATGTTATTTCTATGTCCTTTGTTAATCAAAAATGGGGGGAAGTTGGGGAAGACAGTGTAGCACAGAGAAGACAACTAGTGACCCTGTGGCATCTTACTATGCTGACGGACAGTGACTTCAATGCAGTATGGGGGGGACTCGATAATACGGGTGAATGTAGTAACCACATTGTTTTTCATGTGAAACCTTCATAAGAGTGTATATCAATGATACCTTAATAGAAATAAAAAATAAAAATAAAAAAATAAAAAATGGGGAGAGGTTAAAGGTACCATTTTGACATATAACCCACTCCCAGATATACATACATTACAACTGTCAAGTGATTTCATGAAATGGACAGGTCTATGAAAATAAGCAATTGTTAAATAAGATGTTTAATTGACATTAAACCTAGTTTACTAACATCTTAACAAGTGAACAATAAGATATCTCCCTGAAATCACTGTATTCATGAATTTGTGTGAAGTAGAATGTATAGTTATGTATTTCTGACCTTATTAAAAATGTATGCCTGCTATATTCAGTAATTAGTCCAAGTTAATTTTTCAAGAATGATGGGAGAACAAGTTAAGGATGTTCGGTCAACCAAGGCAACTTGAACTGACTTGTTACTGTTACAGGCTCACACTATTTTTCCTGTACAAATCTGGTGACAAAAGTTAGTTATGTTTCTTCTAACAAAATATGCTTGCATTAAGTTGCTTCTGGAATTTTCTAAATGATCTCTCGTATTGATGTATACTGGAAAAGAATGATCAATGTCAAGGATATTTTTACTTCTCATAATAAGGGATAAGTATGACACATCCCTTTTTTTTTGACATACTATCCACCAAACTGAATCTGTTAAACAATTTTAATCCAGATACCTACTTTTCCCATAATCTTTAACACTACATTGAACATATGACTAGAGAAAAAAAGTCTATAAAGTATAATACCCCTCTCTCTTTTTCCCGCTCTTAGATTCCCATTAACCTCTGCCTAAGGCAAAACGCTGCCCTTCACGTTTCATGGTCATTTGTTGTGGGCTTTTTTTTTTTTTCACCCCTCGGTTCCCTGTTCAAATCTTGTTTCTTGCAGGACTTTATCGCCGGCAGCCTGGGTAAGATCCAAAGTGGCCGTGGTTACTGAGTGGGGCTGTCCCAGGACGGACTCAGTCAGCCGTGGCTTTGGCAAGACGGCTCCGCCCCTTCCCCTGACCTGTAAGTGTCTGACAGACGTGTGCCAAGAAAAATCAGAAACCTGAGAGAATTCAAAAGCTCATTTTATTTTACACCTCCGAGTTCCTCCAGGAGACATACCCAGCCCTGATCATTTCTCAGGCTTCTGACTCAATCAAAGCCGAGGTAGTTTAAGTGGCTTTGCTGCCGTTACCCCCAAACACATTCACATCAAAATTTGAGAGTCTGAATGAAAAATATTATATAATTATCAAGAACCTTTCCTTTGTATCAGTTAACGGCTAGAGAGTGCTATGGGAAAGAGACCATAGACGTAATCAAGCAATTTCCATATTAAGCTTTTCAGAAACAACCAGAGAGATTGGTGAACAGGGCTGCCTTATTATTTTGAGAATTAAGAATTAGGAAAGAGATTCTAATGTAGAGCCTACTTTCTGTATGTATTATTTTAACATGCATTTTGTTGAAATACATTAACATACTTTTATTGAGAGAAAACAGCCCCATTATTAATGGAGGACAAAAACCACAGAAGGTGCCATATTAAAACAAAATAAACCAAAATGAAAAGCTACTCACCCCTCACCATAAGCCCCAGACCTAACCTCAGATACACTGACTTGCCTCTCCAGGTCACCTTTACAGACACCCCAGTCGACTAACCAGCTGTGTGGGTATCTCAAGGACAAGTTCCTCTCTCTCGCTAACTGCAGCGTTTGGAAGTATTTTATTTGTGAGAAGTATGCGTTAAGATCCTCTGTCTGAAAGAAATTGTGCTCGAAGGGATCTCTTACAAAGCATTTGGAACAGGTCACTGGAAAACCTCTACCCCGAAAGGACACAGCAAGTATAGAATTAAACCAGTGCGTGAGCGATGAAGCCGCCTACCTGGGACTCAAGACGTACTGTTACTTTTATACAAGGTAACGTTCGTCAATACCTTCCAGACACTCATTTGACCTTGTTCAGTTTGCTAAGAAAAAAACTAATTTAGAGCTACAGAGGACAAAACCCTACAGGTTTTTGAACAAACTGAAGAAAAATAATTTCCATTCTTTTTTCCTCTTCCTTTTCTTTAGTCTACAGTGACGATGAAATCCATACAGAAATCTATAAATCATTGCCGAGGTGATGTAGTTCTAGCTGACTGACTTTTCAATAAATAAATGAATAAATGTGGCCTTTTAAACGGGCTGTCTTGCCAGGTAATTCTATGCATGTTTTAGGCTTGTAGGCATTATATTATTGGGCTGGGAAGGTGGGAGGTTGGAGATACGGGTTTTCAAACTGGAAGGAAGACAGGCTGCCGTCTGTTTCCTGTAAGATAATAAATACCCTTTTCATGGCTGTAGGATTCTCATGGAAGGTGAACCACTAGCACTTCAGGTAAGCGGAAGGAACAGTCAGGCTGGCAGCACCAGGGTGTCTCCGTTAAGGACAGCTGCCCGTCCCACCGCTCACGGCCCGGACTCAAAGTCAACACTGCAGAACCTTTAAATCCTTTAAATGCATCTCTCTGGGCCTCAATTTCTTCACTGTAAAATAATTAACAGACTTATTTCAAAATATTGTTTGAGGATTAAATCATTAATATACATATCATCAACCTTATTTGTGTGTTCCAGGTAAAAAATGACCCCTTTTCCTGCCCATGTTGCAGGAATATTGCAAAGAGAGATTTTATATGTAAAATGTCAGCAACTTTCTAGAGACAGTATCTGTTTTAAAGTGAATGAATCTTCTCAATAAATGTGTAGACAATCCATGTCCTAAGTTTGTAGGCTCTTTGAACATGAATTAGCTTGTTCCCAAAAGACAGTTGATAGGAAAGTATCTTATGATTTAGAGAAAGACAAATTCCTTCCTAATTATTATTATTATTATTATATTACTTTTCTACCACTTATTATCCCTTATTATCCCCAGAACAGCTTACTACAAAGTAGATTCTCATCAAATACTTGCTGAAGTCCATATAATTTCATTTAACCTTTCATTTTTCACCAGGAGTAGCTGAGCTACATTAGATTCTCATCTTTCTGTCTTTATAACAAAAAGCCCACTTCCATCAATGAAGTAAAATAAACCCTAGGTCACTGAGGCAGTGCCAGTCATTTAAATGAACCCAGCAGTCTATTGTAACAGGTCACCTCTGAATGATAAGGTCCTTCACGAATGGGAAGGGCATGATTTTGGGTTTCTTTTCCTTTGTTTACCCTTGGTCTGGAGTTTAAATGGTTTGAATTTCAACAAAAAGGATTTTCTCCAGTTTTCTGCTGAACCTAGAAAAGGAGAATAGCAAAGAAAACCTAGTGTAAATTGTCTCCTGTGTTGGGTTTGCACAGCTGGCCGCTAGCAGCTGAATATAATTAACCTGGAATAAAGGAGAAACAATAGCACTTATTAGTAGTAAAGACTTTGTCTTCAAGATTCTTCAAAGTATTGTCATGGAGCTATGTTTGGAGAAAGGATAGGAAGCATTTAATAACTCTTTTAAGGAAAAGTACAGTGAAGCAGAAGGCAAACATCCTCCGGCTGATGTCACCCTGCCAGTGTTTGGTGCAGTATTTACAAGTCAGAATCTTATCTCAGTGCCGCCGGCATGAGCTCCTACACATTTCCTCGGGGGCCATGCTGCTTTCCACACAGGTATTATGGGGGAAGATTTTTTTTTTTCCTGCAGGTTGCTTTTGACCCGTAATACCTAGGTCTTTCTCAAGGCAGTGGTAAGAGATCAGGCCCTAGCCCTGAGATAACCAGTTTAGTATCATACTCTCACCTATAATGAACTGAGTATCTTTGGTCCACCTCAATGAGTTCCAAGTTAGCTTTAAAAAAAGGGAACATAAAAGTTTGTTCTACAAATATAAAGAGGTTTTGTTATATGGAATGGCTGAAGTATATTAAGTGTGTAAAAAGAAAAATATTGGAATAGTAATATTGATACACTAAGAATATGTATTATTAGATTCCAAGAATCTATTCATACAATGAATCTTGTAAAAAAAAATAAAAGGTATGTACACTTTATATATTCTTCAAAAGTGACAAGAATCCCTTTACAAGGTATTTGACTCCCAAATATTAAGGCCAACCCTGACTTAACCTACTAGACTCATCTACTTATTCCATAATCTGTGTTTATCCCGAAAGCAAATGCTCCCATTACACTGCTCACACTTCCTGCAGTTACAGGGCTCATGAAATGTTTCCTGTTGATAAGTTTTAAGAGCTGGTTCAATATCCTCAGGAAAAGAAATAGCTCACTGTGTACTCCAGGGAACTCAATCTACCAGGAAAGCAATGTTCCTTGTTTGACTTTTCCCGCAATTTCTTCAGAATTACCTAAACCCACAAGAGCTGAGAGGGAAAAAGTCCTTTACTGAAAAGATAATTCATAGGGTGCTGCTCTCCCCAGTTCTCAACAACAAAAATCGTTTTCAGCAAGTCATATTTTCAAATGCATGTTATGATTGTTTCCTATTCTTAAAATGTAAGTAAAAGTTTGTGGAGAGATGTTGTGTCACACTCCTTTTCTGTTCTTTTGAAATAATTTCCTCACGTTGAGATCAGTGTTGGTTGTATACTGAGGTCAGATGAGGGGATTGAAGGAAAAGATGGGCAGGAATAAGCTCAACAACAGCAAACATGTCAAATAAATGCTATTTTTCCCTTCCTCACTCTCTAAAGTGAAACTTTCCCTTAGGTTGCACATGTGGAGAGAGAATAATATTTGACAACCACTGTCCAGGCAGCCAGACTCCTTGAAGCAATGACATGTAAGGAGACATTTGTCATCTAACCCTGAACTAGACCAGTTAGGTAGGATCCCAGGGGTCAAAATTTAATGTGTGTCATGTCCCTATTTTGCAACTTAGTCCACAGGCATTTGACTTTCTCATATACTAATCATATTTATTTTCTACAGTAATAAGGCTTAAATAACACTTAACTGCTTAACTGAAGGACTAATCCACATTTCTCGTTATGCACTTATTATAATAACCATGTGTGTTAAATACCTGTACTTACAATAGAAAATATTTGGTATTATCTACAGCCTCCAATGTGGGTGTCTTTCTACAATTTGCTCATGAACACAGGTCTCCAAAGAAGGTTGTTTGTTTGTTTGTTTGTTTGTGCTGCTCCACTTTAAAAAAAATAAATCACTAAATCCTTCTCTCCCTTTTCACGTATTTTTAATCTCTTTTACATCTTATATTGTGATTTAGGTTATGAAACTAATTTTACATTTATCTCATTTCAGCTAACAGTAACACTATGAGGAAATTATATGTATTTCCACTTTATGCTTAATGAAACAAGCTTCGTGAAATAAAGTGATTTGCCTAATAATGAATTAGAATAAGGGATGTAAAACTCTCCTTTTATGACCACAAATACAGTTTTTTTTTTTTGGACTGCACAGAATATAAATACAAAATGTGTTAAAACACTGAAGAAATTTCCTAGCTAATCAATAGAACATGAAAAGAAAATTCTTAGGGAGGATATATGCAAGTAGTGATTGATAAGTGAAACAGTCCTATGAAAATGAACACACAAGTGGTCTCCTCATCATTTATTTCCTAACTTATTGTCATCTTACCATGAGATAGATAATGTTGAAATATCTCACAGATCATGAGATAGTTTGTTGAAAATAAAACAAAGGACTCCCGGTTCCACTATTGAAAAGTAAGGATTTATAATTTATAAAAAATTACCCTTTCTGGTGTTAAACCCCTAAAACTGATTTACCTATAAGCCAGCAAAATCAGTGGCTGAGATGGTGTTATGCAATGGCCCTGTGGTGACTAGCCTACTGCCATTCAGAGGAAGGGCACCTAAGCAAGAATCCGGCTGCGTAGGCAGCTCTCCCAGACTCTCTCTCACTTTCCATGACCTGATTGAATGACTCACCCTGTTGCAACTCAGTTTACTCATCATTGGCCCTGTATTGATGACATAAACTTGCTTCAGAGGATTCCATTTTAAGAAAGTGTTAAAACCATCGGTTTTAACATACATCTCAAATACAGCATACATCTCAAAAACTTCTTGCTTTCCTCAAATAATCAAATGATCAGTACTCTTGTAGAATCAATCCCTACACACTCTCAGGAAGGCACAACCACCCAAAGCACTGATTGCTACCATATGTTGAAGAGCATCTCCATGCTGAATTTTTCCCCAAATCACAAATCCATTCCAAAACCACACACACCTCACATTATTTACATTTATTATTATAAAATCATCAGTACCTAATGGATCAAATGGAAGTAAATAGGAACTGAAGCCAAACTATTACAGATGCATGTAAAGCAATTGACTTATTTCTGATCGTCCATTTCTCTGAAGGGAGCATCAGGGACCTTAATTCTGATATGGAACCGAGTTAAGAATGTTTCTTTCCTGGAAGACATTCCTAGGGAAAGAAGACAATTATTGGAGTCTTAAATGGGCATGGGGGAGGGGGATGGGGAGCAGGGTATATGTTTGTAAGAAGTTAAGATCCTAATAAAGGGAACTATCCCAGGGGCAGGCCAGATGGGTCTTTCTTGAGAGTTTGGGGAGGGAAAAGCATGACCTGAAGGAAACAAAAAGAAGGATCTGTGTATTTGGTAGCACACTATAGGGAGTGATGGCTGACCTCTCATGGACTGCTTAGCTGTTGGAGCAAACGATGCTACATTCACCGATTTCTTCTACTTCCGTAAGTTTCTCATTTCTCCCAATATTAAGGGGGACATGGAAACAGGAAGATGCTGAGGAGGAGGAACACAGGAAGTTCTCCCTAAGTCAATGAGGCAGATTGCATCTTTATAGGCTTCTGGGGATGGTCGGCACATAGACAGGACTTCTCTCTGAGTGGTCAGCATAGGCAGGAAGCCGAGCTCAGAAGCGCTGGTGATCCTGACCAGGAAACATGAAAATCCTTCTTGTACCAGAGGGATCGCCGTTCTTCTGTTTTCCCCACTCCCCCGTGTCTTAAATCCCCCTTGTGCTGACTTCACTTGGCTCAAACATTTTGTTGGATCGTTGCAGAGACACGGATCAGTTGGAAGACAATAGGAAACCAAACTATTCCAGGTACACATAAGGTGACCGACTTTGGTTCTCATCTTCGGTTTCTCCGAAGGGCGCCTGGGGCGCAGCTGAGGCGGGAGAGTCCGTCGGCCCCGTGATGGTGCAGAGAAGCTACCGGAGCTCCCCCAGCCTCGCCGCCCCCGCCGCCCGCTCACACGCGCACCGCCTCAGCTCTCTGCAGTCCTTGGAGAAAGCCTTCCCGTGGAGGATGGTCACACAGTCCCGGCTTCTTAGGCTGCTGACATCGATTACGATTTCAAACCTTAAAAAAGAAAAAAAAAAAGTTAATCTAATCACATTATTTCTAAAATGAAATATTGAGTACCCAGAAAGTACATAGGAAGTATTCCCAGCTTGGTAAAATTATAGAAGAGACACCCAGAATGAGTTTCCTGGAAGGATGGGGTCACCAGGCTCTTGTTTCCAGTCTCTTCAATTTCCATACTCATTCTTAGACGTGTCAAGTCACCCAAAACAACCAAAACTGTTTCCAACTAAAACTAAGATCCATGTTATAATCCAAATGTATCATATGATTTTACTGTCAGATGAAAAATTATCTACCTTCTCTGGGACTCAGTTATTTAACCATAAAATAAAAGTGATTACATTGGATATGTCCTATCTTCTTGGAGAATAAATCCTACATGGTTATATAGAGAAGAAAGGTGTTGGTGCAAACATGGCTGTAACTATAATACATTTTGGTATTAATATTACATTTACCTCTTTCAAAGGATACCATGCACACTTCTATCTAAATGCTCACATTAGTAAACTAATTCTTTATAATGTTACTGTTTATGTTGTTAGTACATCTATTCTCAGAGGCTGTATTTTTAAAGATGTACTCCCCATTTCATTGCACATAAAACCAAGAAATCTGTCTTATACCATCTCTGGATATTGACAAATTGTGAGGTTGTGTGACCTTGGGAAAGTCACCATTACAACACGGGCTTCAGTTTATTCATGCATAAAAGATCTCTCTCTCCCTTCCTCTTTCTTTCTCTGTCTCAGTGAAGCCCAGATACTTAATAATGCCCCAGGGGCCTTCAAGCCCTGAAATAAAATTTTCTGAGAGCAACCAGAGAAGTGTCCTTACTATTTTAGTAGCACTTGGTATCTGTCTCCCTCACTGATTCATAAGCCTCAGGAGCAAGTGCTGTGCTGCATACAGCCTCCTACAAACATCGTTTCCAACACAGTGCTGCTGTTTGATTAGTGCTTGTTGAACCCAAGTGCTGAACTCTGTCACTCAGATGAAACCTCTTTATTAGTTTTTCCCACCCAGTGTTCTGAAGGCTTACAGTTCAGAGGAGTAAGGGGCTCCGTCAACCCACAGCCAGGCCTTGGCACTGCCGTTGCGGGACAGCCCTGTCCAGTAAGAGTAGAAAAACTCAGAGTAGCTCTGAGGCAAGGCAAACTCCTGCAAAAGACACACAAGGAAACCTTTAGCTTTAGAGAGGTTATGATAGATACATGCAGACATGTGCAGGGCCGGCCAGCACTTTTAACATGAGAACAACATGAGTCCTCACAGAGATGACAGTGCACCCAGGGGAAAGAAAGGCATCTGGGCTGAAGCCAGTTTGTCCAAGGTAAAGAATGTGTTTTGTCTTAATAAGCATGGAATATATACTGATATTCTGAAACCAACAATCACATCGACCAACTTTATTTATGAAAACAAGAAAAGAAATTCATCGTTTTCAAGTCACAGGGTCCACGCTAAGATTTACGTAGAAAGTATGGGAGGCAGATTCACAAAGAGATGTGGAGAGATTCTGGGAAATGGAAGAACAGGGAAGGAACAGTGCAGGGACGGGGAAGTAAACTTTACGAATACAAGCGAAAGGGACTGACAGGAAAAAGAAAAGAATAATGAATATACTGCAATGCAAAAAGAGGTAAAGAAGAACTTGGAAGGATGCTTTGTCTCAGACTAAGATGGGGAGAAATGCATTTTTCATGTTTATATATGTGTGTATTCTTTGTATATTTAATATGTCCATATATAGTCATATACATGACAATTCCTTTTCTAATATTCATAGAGAAATTTTTATATACAGTATATGGTTCAATTATATACCTGAGTCCTCAGTATGCTCTGGAGGTGGAGGAACCAAAGAGCATAGGAAAACTTGGGAGGGCTTATAGGCTACACTGCCTGAGTCAAATCAGTGGCCTCCCTTGCTGCCTAAATTAAGCCATCAAGAGAGGATTAAAAATATTATTTTAGTCATGATAGAGATTGCAGAGTTTCAGTGACTACAGATTTCAGGAAGTGGGTAGAAATTAAGATGTAACTAGAAGGAGGTGAAGAGTTTCCACAGAGAGCTGGGCACTAATTTCAATTAAATAACCATTGTTGGTAAACCATTCTATGCCAAGACCTTGGCTAAAACAACAATAAATAAATAATGGTCACAAGGTTTGAGAAATTAAATCCAAGGGCAATAAATAATGTTAAAAAAAGGGAATAATCGTATTATTTTAATAGTGTACTTTAAGTATTTACTCAAAATATGTGAATTTATAGTTCTATCTTCATTTTTGCTTTGACCAGTCAACGTTGGGTTGTAAACTGCTGGGAAGGCAAGATACTCATTGTGGAGATTACAGTAATCTCTTAATCAAACATTTTTCAATTAAAAGCGGTGTCACTTTTATAGTGGAAGAGCAGGAACTGCTATTTTCATCTTCCTGACATTGCATCAATACAGTTCCCTTCCTCACCAAACTGAAAGAGGTAGGCAATTAGATCCTCTTCGATGCCTGGCTGATGGAGAGTGTGAAGAGCTTTCTCTCCTGTTTCTAAGGGGTGGGTGCTTGTGGAGAACAGGACTCCTTGGATTTATCTCAGGGGATCATTCCAAGCTCCAGGATAAGACCTGGGCATTGACTGCAGTAAGTGGAACAGTCTGTGGACCTTGACTCCCTAGAATCTTTTGAATAACTCTTTCAAAGACCTCTTTGTGAGAATACTTCCAACCAGCCAAGCCTCGGGACCTTACCAGCACCTCTTGCGTGTTTATCTTCAGCATGGTGGCGTTTACCGCACTGCAGAAGTACTCACAGCCCTGCCAGCTCTTGCTCTCTTTATGGAACTGGTAGCATTTATCCCCATGCCACTTCCATTTTTCTGGGCAAGGGCTGCAACTGTGTTCTTGGAAAGAAACCAATTTAATGTTATTTTTTGCTCAAGTCTGCCGTCTTCCCTCTCTTGAAGTTATAGTGTATGTGATGGCCCCAGAAAGAATTGATTCCTTTTCTGTTAGTCAAGTAATTGATGAGGAACGATAACGACAAATGTTTACGGAGCACCCATGATATGCCCTGAATTGTAATTGATACTGAGTACACGGTGGAAATTAAAACATACACTACCTGCTTTCATGGAGTATAGAATCTATCAATGAATGACTGGCATTTCCTTGCTCGTTACCCTATGTAACTGAGCATACAGACAGGATATTCAACTTCATAAAGAAATCTTCATATGTTCAGAAACTCAGTGTGCATTGTATTTAAGAAACAATTGAAGTTTCTATAATTTTCTCCCGCAAAATCTCTTATATAATAGTGAAAGGATTTGTTTAGGTGCAATATATACCAGTAGACTATGGACTCTTTTCTCACTGTAAACAGAAGTAAATAAAATTTCAGAAAAATTACATAAATACAAACATGAATTAGAATGCTAAATCTCTATATGTCAGAAATTAAGATGGGCATCAGAGACAGAAAAGTGAGTACACAGGTCAAAGTTGAGATGGACCACATGGGTAGTGGTTGTAAATTTGAGAAGTAGGCCCTGAGAGCTATAGTCTCAACACATGCGATGGTACATGGCCTAGGACCTTTGAGAGTGGGGAACCTGTAACCAAGTCCCTTGTGGGTATATGGTGGGATGGGAACTCATTCCATAAAAATGTCTTTATTTTAAATAATATGTTAACCTGTTAAAATGTTAACCTGTTAAAATTGGAATGGTCAATACACAAATAAATATCATGTTATTGTGTGTCCTCTGTATATTTGAAATATTTCATACTATAAAATGGTCTTAAATAAATACATAATTAAGATTTCTTTGTAAGTCAGTTCATATCTCTGGCCCAGACTTTATTTCTTATATGTCAGACTGCCTACTCATATTCCCACTTGGATCTCCAAATCGTACTTCAAATTCGACTTGCCCAATAGCAGTCCTGGTTCCTAGCCTTCCCTCTCATAACCACAGAATTCTGTGCCACTTCACTTCATCATATCGCTATGCTTTGAACTGCTTTGCCAAAAAATTGGAGATATTTTTGACTCTTTTATTTTTCTTTTGACACCCCACTTTATTCCACCATGCACTCGTTTCCACAGATAATATCCTAGTTGAGGCACCATCATGTCCCCTGGATCCCCGCAGAGTAACAGCCATCTCCTGTGTGATTCCTCTGCTATCCTTCCCTCTTCTGAGCTCTTTTCAACATTTTTGCAGAGTGAGACTTTAAATGTTTGTGCCAGACATGCATTTCCTCTGCTCATAAATAATAAACGCCTGTAATAATTTCCCATTCTTCTCAGTTGAGAAGCCAAATCCCTTACAATTGTTCCTTAGGCCATAAAGAATCTCTACCTGGCCTCCTGTTAGTCTTCTGCTCCCTCAGTTCTGCTCCAGGCACACAGACTCCTTAGGATTCCTTGAATATGCAAATATACTCACATTTCAGGGCTTGCACTTCCATGGCCCCTACCTGGCTTATTCTTCCTCCATATGCCCACACGACTAATCACTCAACTCTTTAAATCTTTGCTCCTGTATCATCATCTTAATGAGGGATTTATGGTCTCCCTATATAAATCAGCAACCCACTATCCCTGGATCCCTGACCCCCTTTACCTGTCTTCCTTATTTCCTCCCGAATTGATTACCCTCTCCTGTGTTATATTTAGGCTGATAATCATTCTTGTATGCCTGGAACCTAGGGTTTCCTAGAATGTGAGACTTTCAGTACTAAAACTAGATGAACTGAGACAAGCTGGTCTTCTTATGTTATGGTTTTAAATCCACTTATTACCACCACAGAACAAGAGGTCCACCAGGGCAGAAATCCTGTGTATGTTTTGTATGATATGCATCAGTTGCTCAGCAAATACTTGCTGAATGGATGTATAGATGAATAGAAGGAAAATGGGAAAGAAGAAAGTAAGAAATGGAGAACAGAGGAGCAAAACTGAGAACTAACACCAAACCAAAAACATGTGGACATTTTCCTGAGAATAAGGAACATCACTAATACGTTTGCATGTACACTTTGTATTTAAACTATACATAGCTAATTTGTACAGCTTTCTTTTTATTTGTTTTTATACAGCTAGATGCAAATTCCAGAGACCATTGGTTTCCTAGAAATTTGGATTACCTTTTGATGATATGGTACCCAACAAAGAAAATATACACAGGGTTGTCAGAAACATAAGAAAAAAAATTGTGTGAGGTGGTACATGTGTTAATTATCTTGATCATGACAATCATTGCCTAATGTGGGTGTATATCGACCTCATTGCAAACTTTAAATACATACAATTGTCTTTATCAAGTATTCCTCAATCAAGTTAAAAAAGAAGAAAATTGTGACCAGTGAGATCATCAATCATGAAGGAAAGAATTACTTTGAGGAAGTGTGTCAATTGATACTCTTTATTGGGTATTTACTGGGTAACCACCCAATCAGGGTGTGTGGTCAGCAGGGGAGGTGGCACAGGTATGGGAGATGAAGGGAACTCATCCTACTTTAAAGTCCCTTGGACACTGGGAAATGTATGTTGCTTCCTACGCATGCGGGAGGAAGCGAACCAAAGGGAAGGCTGACTTGAATGGATCTGGATGTTACGAAACCCCAAAAGGATTGGGAGAGAAAACACAGAACTGTGGGGATGCTTCTAGTCTCATCCAGTCCTCTTTATCAGAACTGAGTTCATCCACTGGTTCTTATTCAATTGCAGATTTAAGGCACCTACACAAGTCCTACTGAATTAAAATAACTGTAATTTGATTCCATTTATCTGCATTTTTAACCAGACCCTAGTATGATTCTTAAAATTTCAAAACTGTAGTTATGAGTTCATTAACTTCTTCATAGGGAAGGGCTTGTAAGCGCATTATGAAATGTATACTACTATGTGCCAAGGTCAATTGAGAAATAACCCTGTATTTTACTTACTTGTAGTGCTATTTTGGCTGTTCAAAGTTAGTTGTTTTTATTGTTTAAAATGTCTGAATTTGAAGAGTCCCATCATGTATTGTAGACATATTGGAACCAAATGATCCCAATAACTGAGAATGACCTTGATGCCCAAACTCTTTATTAAGTTGGCTGGGCAACTGGGTGACTAGTATGCGGTTCCCAGGTACACTGATGGGAAAGTCAGGCCTATACTGACAGATACCCTGAGGGCAGAGGGGAGCTCAGTGACCAGGCCTCACTCACCTCCAGTTTTGTTATAAAGCTCACGACAGTTTTTCAGCTACACGCTGCAGAGTGTCTGCAAGCTTCCCGTTCTGGGCTTGGAGGGACTGCAGCTGTCGGGAGAGATTCTCCAGTCTCTTTTCCTTTTCAGAAATGCTGTCTTGCTGAGTGTGGGAGAGCTGGTAGAACTGGAAAACTAACCCAAGTTACCAAGTCAGACTGAACAGCTGATTTCCTCATTTCTATTTGTTTTCTACCCACTGGGAAAACAAAACAGCATATTGTTTATGATCAAGCTCTGAGATCCCATATTGCCTATATTTGGGTTTGGACTATAGCATATAACATGTTTTGCCTTTAGAAAATTAATTTCTCTAAGTCTGTTTCCTTATCTGAAAATGTGGAGTCCTACTGACAGTTTCCAACTAGAGGAGCAAATTCCTTAACCATTATTACCGCGCCCGCTTCCCGTGGGTCAAGTCGACGCGATCACAGGAGACCTGGTTCGGTTTCAATCAGCTTTAATTTCTTCTCACAGTCGGTGTTACAGAAAGACTGCAGCTTGAACGCAGGCAAGTAGTAATTAGAGCTTTTAGTTTCTCTCTAGCTTCTTCCTCTCGTCTCTGCAAGCTGGTTCTGCTGACAGCTGCTTCTACTGGCTTCTCCTTCCTACTGCTAACTACCGCTATGTATGTTTCCTAGACCAATCAAAGGGGAGCGCATGCGTGACCTTTAACTCTATTGGCGACAGGGCGGAAATCATGCAGTGTGCACGAGCACGGAACTACTTATAAGGTCTGGGAGGGGGATTTTCCTACTCGGCAGAGCGGATGCGTGGGATGTGCCATTACCGGATGTAAGCGCCATCTTAGAAGGGCTGGGGTCCGACCTCGGCCGCGGCTCGCACCTCTACAATTATATTTTTTGTATACGCTCAACCCACTACTCAACCTAAAAACACAAATCCATTTATCTGTTGATCATTCACATTAATAACAGTACCACATACTGTTACCTCATTCAGTCATTGAAATATTCATATGATCAGTTTTGTATTTTTATTGTTTTGCAACCAGGTACAGTGAGAACATAACTTTCTTACTACCATTTGGCTAGAAAATTCCAGCACCTAGGTTTAAAGTGCGTTTCTACATCTAAGTAGAGAAATCCTTCACGAATCATGGAAGTTGCTTTTTATTCCCAAAAAGAGTGGTGGTTGCTAAACAATAATCAGTTATATCAAAATGAGGTGAAAATGTTAGGGTCAGGATAGAAACACTAAAAATATACTTTTCATGTTAAAATTTAAGATCACAAAAAAAAGTTCCACAATTTCCTATAATAAAATTTTTTGTCATTAAAACCCGCCCTTTGGTATAACCTTTTAACTTGGACCACCTTCTTTAACTGCTCAAGGAAACATTGCTCGAGCCGTCAGTCTGATGAAGCAAATTCACCCACTTCCTTTTCTAACATTTGACCTTGCTGTTACTAGTTTGAAATTTAAAGACTTTTACACACATATTTCCTTGTTTGATTTTCACAAATTTTTGCAAAATGATTCCATCACGTCCTGGACTTTTTGAAAAATATGGTGATTAAGGACCTGGGTGGTTTCTCCTTAGACTGAAGGGGCTGCGATGTAAATGGAATCTCTTCCCTTTGCATTAACTCACTGGACCAGGCATACTTAGTAAGAGCAAAAACACGATCTCTATTTTTTTGTGGAATAGAAGGGGTCTGAAGTGTGCATTCGTTAAAAATTGTTGATTTCCAATATTGACATATAAACAGACAAAAACCTTATCTCAAGCAGAATATTAAGAGTCTAGCTGGCAAGTGATTGCTGTATTTTAATGCTTCTTCCACACTCATCATTTAAGTAGGTGCTTTAGAATAATAAATAATGAATTATCCACAGGTTTCAGAATTAAAATAAAGAAAAAAATCCATCGCAAGTACTTCTCTTCCTAGACAGACCTTGGAAGCAGGTCCTCCCCCAAGTCAGAGCGCAGACTTACACACAGGCCCCAGGGCTGCCAGGCTCGTCAGCAGCACCAGGCACAAAGCCCGCAGGGTCGGGGCCCCTGGATGCCAGGCTGCAGAGGGAGGCCTCTGCTCTGCGTGGAACAAAAGAAAAGGCAGGGTTTCCCTTTTAATTCCACTTGGATCTTTGTCAGCAGCTCGCAAATGAGTGGAGCTGATTCTGGGAACAAATTTTGCAGAACAGCAGTAATCAGTGGAAGATAACATTCCCTCTGTCCTCAGAAACATTGTCAAAAGGTTCAATGTCAAGCCTCACTTTTTCACATCATCAGAGATGAGATGAAATTAATTTGTTATTCTTTTGGAAAGTGCTCTCCTCCCCAGTTTCCGTATATGCTGCTTCTGCAAAGCAAATTGCATGTCAGTAATGAGAAATAATCATTTTACTGCTTCTTTTTGGGTTTTACTTGTTGAAAATCCATCTTCTGTAAGGATTTTGTGCATTCATTTAATTTATGCTCCCCCAAAAATAGATTATAATGAAACAAGATCATCAACTTCTTAAGGATGATCTAAGCTGTCTCAATTTTGAACCAGTTAGGTAATTTAAAAGCTGTAGCCAACATCCTTCCCCGCCCCACACCCCCGCAGGTTTGCCTTGTGGTAATTGCAGAGGCCCCAGGGAGTCAAGAGGAAACCCGCCACCTGGCGAGGCCAGCTGTCAGTCTGAACCACCTTGGAGATGGACAAGGAAGACTCCCAACAACCCCAGCCAAGCGTAGGGAACATCTCGCATTGTGCTTAAAATGAAACAAAGGGAGAGCAAAACCCATAAGTATACTCTCATCTCTTCATTACCTGTGAATTTCATTTCGTTGAGATTCAAGTCAAGATCTCAAACAGAAAGATTAAAAACACATGAATTCGTTTCTTCTTCAGCAAAGTCCTCTACACAATACATTCCAGGTGCAGAGATTTGCACTAATCAATACTTCCAAATGGGGAATAATAAGCGGTGAAGAGAGTATCGAAGTAGAAAATATGATCATCAACCTCTGGAACCTACACTGTAATAGGGAAATTAGTTAAAAATCATGGGACATTGACACATTTTAAAACGTGATTCTTATTTTCTGCTAATAATCATCTCCTTCATAAAAACTTTCAATGGCTTGCATTACAATTAGAATAAAATCCAAATCACTTTTCATTAAGATCCAAGTTGTTCTTTGTAAAAAATGGAAATTTGATGATGGTACTTCCTGACTTCAACACCTTCCCATAGCATTTTGCCCTTAGACTAAAATTCTACAAGAGTTTTTCATCTGGACCCCACCTAGTTCTTTCATCCCTTTCTGAACGACTCTCCTGCCTCTCAAGTCCTCTCCTCGCAGTGGCCTCTGTTTATCCCGGAAACAGGTTTGTCCCTGTTCAGAACTTTCTGCACTAGCTCACCTGGGCCCTGCACTAACCAATCCTCAGGTTGGTGGGCTACTTCCTGTTACTAAGCTTTCTGTTTAAACCGCACATCCTTGGGAGAGGTCCATGAATCCATGCCTAGCACATCATCCCACTATGTATGTTTTTAAAAATAATATTGTTAAGTAGTATTTTTATGGCTTTCGTTTTTTTGTTTTAGTCTATCTCTTCCCCATTCAGTGTTCATCCTATTAAAACAGTGATCCCCGTCTTGCTTTGCACCTGTGTGTTTCCAGTACTAAAAACAGTGCCTGGTACAGGAAGGCTGAGTACATATTTGAATGACTAGATGAGTGAAAAATGCAATTATGAAAAATAAATATTACCTCGACTACCTAATTTTTACAGAGGCACAGAGGATTGTCTTAAGTTAAACTTTAGATTGATTTTTTTAAAATCTATTGACTTTTCAACAATATTTCTGTCAGCAGAGGGCAGAGTCGGCTAGATTAATCTCCTCGCCATACTTGTGGAATCTGAATGACCAACAGATACAGAGGAATTTGCTGACTCCCCTATTTCCTTCCATTAGCTGGCCTAAGTGATTGGGCCTAAATTTTCCTAGAAGTTGCTGGTTTCTAGGCATTGGCTTTACGGGCATCTCAAATCACCAGAACATAAAAGAGAAAGATCAGAAGGCAGAACATAGCTTAAGCTAAACGTCCTCTCCAAAACCCTGTCTTCTTAAAGTTCTATGCAGCCCAAGCAAATTAACCAGGTGGCTGTTTCTAGATTCCAGAGGTACAAGGGCAGATGTGGACTCACCCCACAGTGGCTTTATTTTTCTCCATATCTCTTATTACTATCAAATATGTATTTTGCTTATTTCTTTTGTTCTGTATCTGTCTTAGCCCAGTAAAACGTAAGCTCCTTCTTAGAAAAGATGGTCTGTTTAGTCACTGGAACATCAATTCTAGCACCTAGAACATCAGTTGAAATAAGCTCAATTAATGTTGAATGAATGAATGTGTCTACTATATATAAATATCTGTTTTATGCCTGTCTATTCCTGCCCAAACCTATTTATACACACCTGAATGATACAAACATTTTAAGGGCTGTTCTTATTTAATATTAATATTTCCCTTGTCAAAATTAGAAAAAATAACATAAAAAAGAACTATGGAAATTTACCAAATTATTAATCCCTAAGGAAACCTGCTTTCCCTTGCATAATATTGGGAGCAAGGGAGGTATTGATTTTCTGCCAAAAGGATCAAAAAGAGTGTACTTGAGTTTTTACTGTGAAGTGAGGGCCAGTACCTCAACATAATAAAGGCCATATATGACAAACCTAGAGCCAACATCATACTTAACAGTGAAAAACTGAAAGCCTTTCCTCTAAGATCAGGAACAAGACAAGGTTCCCCCTCTCCCCACTTTTATCAACATTGTACTGGAGGTCCTAGCCACAGCAATCAGACAACACAAAGAAATAAAAGGCATTCAGACTGGTAAGGAAGAAGTTAATCTGTCACTGTTTGCAGATGACATGATATTGCATTAAAAACCCTAAAGAATCCAGTCCAAAACTACTGGAACTAATGTCTGAATTCAGCAAAGTTGCAAGATACAAAATTAATACCCAGAAATCTGTTGGATTCCTATACACTCACGATGAACTAGCAGAAAGAAAAATCAGGAAAACAATTCCATTCACAATTGCATCAAAAAGAATGAAATATCTAGAAATAAACCTAACCAAGGAAGTAAAAGACCTATACCCTGAAAGCTACAAGACACTCTTAAGAGAAATTAAGAAGGACACTAACAAATGGAAATTCATCCCATGCTCTTAGCTAGAAAGAATTAATATTGTCAAAATGGCCATCCTGCCTAAAGCAATCTATAGATTCAATGCAATCCCTATCAAAATACCAACAGCATTCCTCAACGAACTGGAACAAATAGTTCTGAAATTCATATGGAACAACAGAAGACCCAGAATAGCCAAAGCAATCCTGAGAAGGAAGAATAAAGCAGGGGGATCACTCTTCCCAACTTCAAGCTCTACTAAAAAGCCACAGTAATCAAGACAATTTAGTATTGGCACAAGAACAGACCCATAGACCAGTGGAACAGAATAGAGTCCAGACATTAACCCAAGCATATATGGTCAATCAATATACAATAAAGGTGCCATGGATATACAATGGGGAAATGAGAGCCTCTTCAACAGCTGGTGTTTGCAAAACTGGACAGTTATGTGCAAGTGAATGAAATTGGATTGCTGTCTAACTCCATACCACAAAAGTAAACTTGAAATGGATCAAAGACCTGAATGTACATCATGCAACCATAAAACTCTTAGAAGACAACATAGGCAAACTCTCTTGAATATAAACATGAGCAACTTTTTCATGAACTTATATGCTTGGGTAAGGGAAACAAAGCACAACTGAGCAAGTGGGACTATATCAACCAAAAAAGCTTCTGTACAGCAAAGGACACCATCAGTTGAACAAAAGGCATCCTACAGTATGGGAGAATATGTTCATAAATGACATATTTGAGAAGGGGTTAGCATATAAAATATATAAAGAACTCATACCCTCAACACCCAAAAAGCAAATAACCCAATTAAAAAATGGGCAGAGGATCTGAACAGACACTTCTCCAAAGAAGAAATTCAGATGTCCAACAGGCACATGAAAAATGCTCCACATTGCTAATCATCAGGGAAATGCAAATTAAAACCACAATGAAATATCACCTCACACCAGTTAGGAAGGCCAACATCCAAAAGACAAGCAACAACAAATTCTAGTGAGGATACGGAGAAAGGGGAGCCCTCCTACACTGCTGGTGGGAATGTAAATTTGTTCAACCATTGTGGAAAGCAATATGGAGGTTCCTCAAAAAACTACAAATAGAAATACCATTTGACACAGGAATTCCACTCCTAGGAATTTACCCAAAGAAAACAAGATCCCAGATTCAAAAAGACATATGCACCCCTCTGTTTATTGCAGCATTATTTACAATAGCCAAGATATGGAAGCAACCTAAGTGTCCATCAGTAGATGAATGGATAAAGAAGAGGTGGTACATATATACAATGAAATATTACTCAGCCATAAGAAGAAAACAAATCCTACCATTTGCGACAATATGGATGGAGCTAGAGGGTATTATGCTCAGTGAAATAAGTCAGGTGGGTGAAATAAGTCAGGTGGAGAAAGAGAAGTACCAGATTATTTCACTCATTTGTGGAGTGTAACAACAAAGCATAAACTGAAAGAACAAAACAGCAGCAGACTCACAGACTCCAAGAAGGACTAGTGGTTACCAAAGGGAAAAGAGGTGTGGAGGGTGAGTGTGTACGAGAGAGAAGGGCATTAAGGGGTATTACGATTAGCAGACATAATGTAGCGGGGGGGACACGGGGAAGGCAGTACAGCACAGAGAAGACAAGTAGTGACTCTACAGTATTTTACTACGCTGATGGACAGTGATTACAATGGGGGTGGGTGGGAACTGATTATATAGGTGAATGTAGTAACCATAATGTTGCTCAAGTGAAACCATCATAAGATTGTATATCAATGATACCTTAATAAAAAAAAATTCAAAAAAAATTCCTAGAATGTTAAATATTTACCAAGTTTTCACTATTGATCTTACTATACTACAAACTAAATTCCATGAGAACATAGATATTGTCTATTTTCTTTACTACCATATTTTCATCTACTAGAATAATACATAGCAAAGAGAAGGTGAATATTACCTGTTTAATCTTCTTTTCCTGTAAACATTTTTCTCTGGTACATTTAAATTAAACTTTAAGACAGTACACCTATTCATCCATATCTAGCACAGAAAATCCTGCCTATTGCTTTGAAAAAGCACTTTTATATTTACATGCTATCAGAATGTTAGATACATCTAGATAAGATGCATTTTAATAAAACTAAAGCATATTTTATTACTGGAGACTTAAACTATTAACAAAAATTATATTCTCTTCTGTGTTTACTGACATGAAAATGTCCATGAAGGTGGTATGTTAAAAAGGGAAAGAAAATAAGAAAAAAATAAGAGAAAAACACTTTAGGTATGTAAATGTGTACTATTAAAGACTATCATACGGCATATGGATAAAGAATTTCATGCAAATTCTTCATCATCAGTAACATCATTTAAATTAATTCTGGGAACTATACCTATAACAATATCCCAATTAAAAATTGCTTTCAGACAGATGCTTCTATACTCTTAATATTTGTATAGCTTATGTGTACCCATACGAAGAATTTGTATAAAAATTCAATAAAATATTTTTAAACTTTCCTTTGTGAATATAACTTTTTAAAATAGATTTAATTTTTTAGAGAAGTTTCAGAGTTACAAAAAATTATGCAAAAAATACAGTGAGTTCTCACTATCCACCCTGTCTTCCTCAGGGTTTTCCTTTTAGCTGACATTTGTGTAGTTTAGTGCATTTGTT